ATGGTAGAAGTAAACATTCAAATATGTGAATGGGTCTAGTTCTTCTTTAAGTCCTGACATGTACTTGTTGACTGAGATGAATTTTGTCATCTTTTCTATCGGATAAAAAAAATATTTTTTTTAAAATTTACTCAGAAAAATTTTTCTTTGTATATACACCATTCTGAACGTCTAAAAGACTTTTGACATTTGCCAAGAATGTTCGTTTAGACGCTGTCATATAACCATACTCTTGACAATATTGTTTATACGAATCGTACAATGACCTTTCATCTAAACACTCAAAGTCAGTTTCATCTATGAACAGTTCATATACACTCTTGTTTGCTTCTAACAATGTTTGTCTCTCTTCGGTATGTGGAATTTGTCTTGGATTGAACTTTGAAATATCTAATGTCATGAAATATGAGAACAAGTGGTTGTAAAAGTTAGGTGTTAAAGTTTCTGCTAAGTCGTCAAAATATTCTGTATCTTGCATATGAGAATCTGACGTTCTGACAACTACATATCTTCTGTCAGAACTTTCTAACTTCATCGGAACGGCATTGTTTGAAACCATGACGAAGTTTGCAACATTTTCACAAACTCTTTGGTCTCTATACTTTCTTTCAACAACTCCAACTTTGTCTGTTATAAGACTCTTCAAAGCATCTGAGTTCAAAACTTTTGTTGTATCTATACTTTGAAGTTCGTTACATACTATAAGTTTCATATTCTCTATTGAAGAGTTAAATTTACCGCAGATGTTTTCTAAGTTTGTCATATTCGGGTTCGAATAGCCCTCTAACAGTTTGCATAAGATATCTGTAAAGAAAGTGTTCTTACCTGTTCCTTGTTTTCCAATTACAATGAGAGCAGTTTCATTTTTAGCACTTGGATGTTGTAAGATGTTTGCAAACCAACATAAGATATACTCATAGACTCTTTCGTTTCCATTGCATATAATTTCTTTGACATGGTCTAACCAAGCTTCTATAACATTTTCTTTCCATTCTACTTGTTCGTATTTATATCCAGTGAAGATAGAATAGAAGTTTGGAGATGGTGTATAGAACTTTATACCACGAACTGAAAAATCTTCTAACTTTGACAATAAGATATCCCAAGCATCTAACATCTTCATACCAACTTGTACGACTTTTATTTTCTTAAGTTTCTGTTTACATTCTTGTTCTGAAACTATTGTCGCTTTAGGTTTGTTAAAGACAACATCCCATTCTTTCATGACATAACATTCTGGGGCAGAGTCGACATAAATGACTAAACGTTTCAAATTCTCGACTGCTTTGTTATAGTCTCGAAATGGACACATATTTCTGAACGCTTGGAAGTCATAAAAATCTGAAACGTCTATTCTGTACATTTTTTTATAAAAATAAAAAAAATATTTTTTTTATTCTTGAGCTATTTGTTGTTGCATTTGTTCCATTTGTTGCATTTGTTGTTCTTGAGCTATTTGTTGTTGAAGTTGTTCTTGTAGTACAATACTTTCACCAGTTGCATCTTCCAATTCGAAACTTTCTGCCGTCATTGACAAATACATAGGACATAAAAGTTTTACAGGAACAAAGTTTGCGTCAACTAAGGTTAAGTTTATGTTTGCTAAAGTGTTTGAGTTTACTAAAGCTGAAAACTCTGCATTCGAATGAACAATAGGCAAACCAGCAGAGAAAGTGTTGTTTATACGCATGAGTATCTTTTGGTCATAGTAGTTTCTGTCGACATTCGAATAGCACTTTGAACCTAAGTTTGAAACAATATATAAAATAGGTGTACTTAAAGTCAATGGAACAGACATTCCTTGTATGACACCTTTTCCTGTTATAGGAAACTGTTGGTAGTAAAAACCAGATATAAGTTTTGTATTATAGCTCATATCGTTTATAGTAAACTCAGTCGGACATCCAAACATAATGAAACCTGCTCTAGTTGCAGCACATGTTACATCCGTCCTTAAAGTATTAAATAAGTCAACAAAACCTGTTGGTGGTATATCTGAGTAAGTATCTTCAAAGGAGTATTTTTTACCATTCACAACAACAAAGTCTTCTGGTGTCAAAAGAGCAAAACAGGCTTTAGTCGTCATCGTGTTTAAGGTCAGTTTACAATATCGTCCTTGAGGACTTTGTAAGTTTTGTTGTTATAGAATTATATGACTCAGGGTTTTTAGTCGTAATAGTATAAACCACTATGTCTTCTGCCATTTACATATATTTAAAAGTTTTTCTGAAAGTGGAGAAGAACTTCATCTAAACTTTCACATGGCGTTTCTTGAAGTTCTCTGTCTAAGAAGTTCAAATATTTTGTAAAGACATAGAACTTTCCTTTGTCTACACGAACAAACAAAACAGGGTCTTTCATATCGTTCAAAAGTGTGTAAAGTCCTTTACATGAAATAAAGTCTATATTGTTTTTCTTCAAACATCTTTCAAGAAGTTTTGCCATTTTTACTTAGCAAACAAACTTTAATGAAATGTTGTGGTCGTCAAATATTTTTATGACGTCTGGGAAACTATATTTTAAGTTCAACGTTTCACCTCCTTTCATAACGTATATCTTGTCAATGACATTATATGAAACACCACAGCAAGCAATGTCGGGTTCTATTTCTTTGATGTTTATATCGTCTGCCTCTGTCAAAAGTTTCAATAGTTCTTTCAAAATTTCATGAGGTGCAATGACATATGAGTTCACTTTTACAGGGTTGTGTTCGACCAAGTTTAACATTAACCTAAAGCTTGACAAATCTTCTCCTGAGTTTTAAGTTTGTCTTTAAGTTGTTGGTAGTCGTTTCGAATATCTGCAACAGAACTTAAGTCTCTGCTAACTTCAGGGTATGTTGGTTGTTCTTTTACAGGAACTATTGTTATACCATCTTCGTCTTCGTATGGTTTCCCCACTTCAACATCTCTGTCTTTGACATTGACAACAACACTTTGACTGTTTGTTTGAGTTGGTGAATTTAACTTCACATCTGCCATCGCCATTAAACCTTTTGAAACACTTACGCTTCTATTTTTCGGAAATGACATTTTACTTAGAATAAAAAGATGGACGTATTCGGATATCTCTTCGAATTGAAGCAAAACAAAGTTTACACACACAAACAATACAAATACATCGACAGAATAGTTCTTTACACAAACAATGGAAAATGTTATAGAATAGCAGTCTTTGCTGAACCAAAATATTTTCATAAAGCAAAGAAAGTTGGTATAACTGAAATGGTGAAAGTTCTTGAAGCAGACAAAAATATAACAACAAAACTTACAGATATTTCTAAAGGTAAGTTTTTAATACAATATTATATCAAAACTGGCGTACTGTCAATATTTGACGGAGAGAAGTCAGTTCAAGAACAACTTACTGACCTGCTGCCAAAATCTGCTCGATGGAAGCTGTCGTTATGCCAATCTGAGGAGCCCCAGCAGGTTTCATCGAACGAATCTTCAAAAGAGCATCTTCCGTGAAAAGTGCTATTGGTTTTGTAAACTTCTTTGCTTTCAATTCATCTGGACCGTCTCTGTCACCAGTATATTGTATTTGTACAGTACCAACAGTTGAAATACCACCCATAAAGTCTTCTGAGTCAGCAAATGGAATGCCAAGCCAAAAGTTTGAACGGTCTCCATTTGTATATTGAGTTTTTTGACCTCCTGTATGAGTCCATACTTTCACATATGGCATAATAGAACTTTGCATTTCAGGGTTAATGGTTGTTGTGAAGTTGTTGTTAAAGTTCATAGCATCTAATGTCAAGTTGTATGACCTCATATCCTCAACTGTAGAATATTCTTCTCTTGGATAGTATTTGCCATCTATGTTTATATGATATTTAATACCGGGGTTGTAGAAACAAGAATAGTCATTTATAGTTCGTCTGAACAGTACAAACATAGTATCTGCATGTTTCATTGCAGTTGTTAAGGCAATATCTGTTCTTGCACCTGGGTCAGCACTTTGGTTTCCAACTTCACCTGCAAAGTCTTTGACAGATATTTGGTGTATAGGGAACATAAGTGGAACTGCAATATATTTGGCAGCTAAAGCATTTGAAATATCTGGGTCCAACATATAGACTGCAAGTCTGCTTTCTATTCTCTTGCATTCAAATTTTTCGCATGTGAACTTAACTGGGTCCCAAGCAGTTCCAGCAGCATTGAAGTAGTAGTTTACATCAGTGTTGAGGTTTGAGAAACCAAAGTCTAAGTCAACTTTGTCTTTGCAAAAGTCACAGAACTTGGCTCCACCAGTTCCAGCTACAGTAAGAGTGAATGGGTCTTGTGTTGGTGCAATGACTAAGTTATTTTTGCTTGGAGTAAGTTCGATAGAAATTTTTCCTGCCCAGTTTGGCAAGTATCTTAAAAACCTGAAGATGAGGAAAGATGACAAAGGAACTCTAAGTTTCAATTTTACTTTGGTTACTGCAGTTCCATCTGAACCAGAAAGGTTAACATAAACTCCTGGAACGTTAGGGTCAAGTCTTCTTATTTTCTCAATAGTTGCATACTGGTCTGTTTGTTCTCTAGCTTGTGGTTGTACTGAGTTTCTCAAAGCGAACCATTCATAGTTTGCCCATGTTACTGTTTGAACTAAATCAGAGTTAGAATATATCTTATATCCCATGAAAACTTCTGGAGCATATTGGTATCCGACATAGAAAATTCCATTGCAACCTTTCTTGTCAGACAACTTGGCAGAAGGTTTTATTTCAATGTCTTGTTCCACGTATAAGAAAGAGTTGTCAATAGAAATTATATGAAACCTGTCGCAAGCAATATCTACTGTTGTTGAAGAACCTTCTCCAAACTCACCTACGTTTCCATAAGAAACAGCAGTTGTATATTCGTAAGTTCCAGGAACTATTTCTGACCTTCTAATGGCATTGTCGCATTCGTTATACCATTCGGAAACATTTCCATTCATGGCATCCAAAACTGTTGGCGTTATATTCTGAGCGGCGTACATTTCATATGGGTAAAAATATAGAATAGTTGGGTTTATGTGTCATAATAGAACCCACGTGGACCAAGCTTTACTTTCTTCCTGACTGAGTTTTTAACTCTTCTTTTTCCTTCATTGCCACTACTTTCACTAGATGAAGTTACTTCTTCACTACTTTCACTTTGTTCTACTCTTCTCTTCTTCTTTGGTGTCGCTTTTGGTAACTTGCCCTCTGCTTCAAGTTGTTGCATCTTTGCCTCATGTTCACCTAGTATGTTGTAAATTTCCCATGTCCTTTTTGCCTTTGGGCTCTGGTCGCCCATCTCAGGTAACCTATATCCTAGAAAGAGTTTGTCATAGTTTGTATTTGAGTCTTTGCGTATTGTTTGCATGACTCTTTCCTGAGTTTCCGGTTCAAGCTCTTCAAACAGTGCCTGTCCATATGGAATAAGCTCGTTTCCAAATATATGTTTTTGTAGCCATTCTGGTTTTCTTTCCATGTTACCAATAATATCCTTTGTGAATGGGAAAGCTTTTACCCAATCTTTCAGTCTTGCGTCGTTTATTTCTGTAGTTGGTTTTATTTTGTCAAGGAACATGTTTTTCAATACTAACATTTCATTTGGTACTGTCCATTTGAGTTTTCTTAAATATTCATCCCTTCTCAGTTCATCGTCTGCAAAGTAAGTTTTTATGACATTTTGTAAACTTTCGTTTGCAAGGTCATGTACAATAGGTTCTCTTCCTTCGCTCTCCCTAACTTTCTTTCTAAACTCTTCACCAAATATACCATCTCTATGGTTCTGTGTAGTTCTTTGAGATAAATGTTCTAGAACGTCAGGTGTTATATTTCCATCAGCCATGTTCATTTCATACTGGTCCAAAATATCTGCATGTTTCATATCTTTCAATGGCATTAAAGCCGCGCTTAAAATACCAGCTATATCTGGTTCACCATTGACTTCCATTGCGTCTACAACTTCTTGGAATTGTGGTTGTAAGTTTATGAACCACCTATCCGGATTAGCTTTATGACCCATCTCATTGTAGTTCCATCGTCTGCAGAAACAAAAGTAGGTTTGTTTCCATCTTGGTTAGGTTCTGAATGAACTTTAAACAATGTTTCATTTCTATATGTTTTCTTGAAATTTAACATTTTATTTTCACCGAGTTCATCCGAAGATTGAACGTTAAATGCTCGTAAGTAAAAAGGGTTGTTGTATTTGTGTACATTTTCTTTCAGTGCTTCCATTCTATGCTGAATATTTTCATCTGATGTTGGAGTCTTTTGTATGTCGGCAAACATTTTTCGATATTCTTCTACTATGTCAGCCGAATTTTTTTTAGACTCTTGGAAATATTCCATATTCTCCGCATACTCTTGTTGAGGGTCAAGATTTTTCGGCTGTTCCAAATCTTCATCTAGTTCTGTGAAGTTAGTTTCCAAAGGAAGGACTTGTTCGTTTCCTTCAGGCTCTTCTAGCTGTTGTTGCTGAACTATTTCTTCCATGTCTGGTTGTATCTGAACTTCTTCCTGTGGAGTTTCTTGTACCTCATCTGCTGGCATTTCATATATTCCGAGACCGTTTTCAACAAGTTCCCTTTCTAAGTCATCCGGACTCATAAACCTTTCTTCTTTCGTTCCGTCTCTATTTTTTACGCGTTTCATGAAGAGAGTTAAATTGTCATTTAGCTCTGACATCAAATATCTCGGAGTAAATTCGTTCATGTCATTTGGATGATATGCTATTAAATCATATCCCTTAGCGAGCTTGTATTTTCCAGGTTTGAGATTATATCCCCTTTGGTGCAGAGCCATAAAGCTAAATAGGTTCGGGTCAGTATTTCCATCCTTGAACTTTCGAATAGCTTCTTTATATCTGTCACTAAAGTCAATAGTATCTGGGTAACCATACTCTTCTTTAAGCATTTTTAAGAATTCTTGGTTTCCTTGTTCTCTACTTCTTTTATGTCCTTGCTCTGTTTGTGGTTGTTGTTGTGCAGGGTTTTGAACTGTTGGTTGCTGTGCTGGTTGTGCTGGATTTTGAACTGTTGGTTGTTGTGTTGGTTTTGGTGCATGCCTGTGTCTGTGTCCATGTGACGATGTAAATGTTTTAGGTAGTCCTGGTGCAGGTGCTTCTCTTGGAGGGTTTGGTGGTATATAAATTCCAACAGCTGGTATATAAGTTCCACCAGCTGGCACATATGTTCCATCTGCAGCGTAATGTCCTACCTGACTTTTCGTTCTTAAGAAAGCATTTACTAGGTCTGTTTTGGTCTGTTGTAACTCTTTTTCTTGACTTTTCACAACAGTTGCTCTAACGGCGTCATAGGCACTTTGAACTGCCTGTCTCGTTGCTGCATCTGTTATTTTCGTCATATTTTGTGCTACTTCTTTTAACTCTTTGTCGAAACCTTCAGACTTCAGTTTCTTTCCAGATGAGAAGTCGTTCACTTGTTTCACCTTACTATGAAGAGCTTCGAAGGCGTTCTTAAAGTCAGCATTTGTTAAAGCTTCATTTGAACTGTCTTCATCCGCTTGTATTTTTGTCCTTATTGACCCTATGAGTTGGGCTGCTTTAGCGTTGGCTTGGGCATCTAACCAGTCATTGTTAGCTTTTATATATTCTGCGCTTTTCATTGCCTTTTGCATAGCCGCGTCGTTATTTTTACTTTCTTGTGCTAAGTTTTCATACTGTACGGTTTGGTTTTGCAACTGTAAAAGTTTTTCTGCCTTTACATTTGCTTCAACTTCTTTTTTATACTCATCGCTATCCATATATGTCTTCAGGGCTTTTTGTTTTATCTCTTCATCTTTCAGTACTTTATATTGAGTAGTATGGTTTTTCAAATTTATGACATCTTGTTCCATTTTTGCTACTTCTGCTGCTTTTTCTGACACTTTTTTCGCATATTCCTCTGTACTTAGTTCTTTCAGTTGTTCTTCTTTCTTCTTTTTCTCTACGTTTAACTCATTGAGTTTCTTTGTGTGTCTGTCATATTCTAGTTTCTTTTCGTTTTCACTTATTTGCTTCTGTATGTCTATGTTTGACTTTTTGACATCTGTTATTTGATTTTTGAGTGAACTCAAATTCATTTGACTTTGAGGGTTATATGCTGTTCCGTCTGCAGCTCCACCATAGCCTGCCATTTTCGCTAAAAGTGCCGCTCTTAAACCTCCACTCTGTGCACCAGTAACTCGGTTTAAAAGCATAGGATTGCTTGACATTTGTTGCAACATAGTGGGGTCATTCAGCATTTGTTGTTGCAACTGTTGTTGTGGTGTTAGTCTTACTATTGGATGTTTCAATGCTCTCTTCCTCTTACGTATATTCTTACGTAGCTTACGTGGCATTTAAGTGAAGTTAAAAAGCGGTTTTATACTAAACATCTTCGGGGCTAGAGGGCACGAAGTGCCTGGAAGCCCCAATACCTTTTTTTTTATTATTTAATAAAGTTTAATTGCCAAGGTTCATCAAATTTTTTGATTTTTAATGTTTTATGAATTTTATTTATCATGTATATATCTAATGAAGATTATATATGTAGAAGATAAGTACCTTAATATGTACGTAAATTTTAATGAAATTTATACAACATTATAAAAATTTATGAATAAAAACTTGATATAAAATAACATTTTTATTTTTACTAAGAAAAAAAAGGTTTTTGATAATAAATTTATTTTATTTCGAAAAAGTAGCAATAATCGTAAAAGGGTATTGATAGGCTTGCTAAAGTAACTAATTTTAGCTGTCAAATACTTTTGTATTTTGAAGTAAATTAGTATAAATTTGTTTTTACTTTTATTTCGAAAAAGTAACAATAATCGTAAAAGGGTATTGATAGGCTTGCTAAAGTAACTCATTTTAGCTGTCAAATACTTTTGTATTTTGAAGTAAATTAGTATAAATTTGTTTTTACTTTTATTTCGAAAAAGTAACAATAATCGTAAAAGGGTATTGATAGGCTTGCTAAAGTAACTCATTTTAGCTGTCAAATACTTTTGTATTTTGAAGTAAATTAGTATAAATTTGATATTATTTTAACTCCCTTTGAAAACCTCAATTTTCCATACAGAGGGAACGGGAATAGCATCCAATATTCCCTGAGAATGGTTGCGCATTCTCAGTTCCCTCTATATTTCGAACGAAGCTCTCATCGGTCTTTTTTTTTAATACTAAACGTTTTTTTTTCCTGTCACTTTTAGCTAAAATTTGGGTTTGCCGCATTGAACTTGATCGAATGAATTAGATATGAAAGATATATATGCATATTCATAAATTAACACCATAAGGTAATATGGAGCATCCAACTTTGATAAGTTGCTCTTTTTCAAAATAGATTATGAAATTTTTATTTTTATGATTTATTTTTGATGAGGATGCATTTTACTAATGGTAGTCAACCATTTATACAGAATAAAATGATACAACATTGTTATCGGATCGACTTTATTCAAATTGTGTAAGGTGTCAAATTGTAAATTTAAAATATGCAATACTTTAATGCACGCATTAATTTATCAAATTAGTAATATTTAATTATATAAATTAAAATAAACATTTTTACAAATTTTTATAAAAAAATATGTGACATATCGTTTTACCACAATTCAAAATAATTAATGTTGATAAATGTATTTAATATGTAATATTAAACATATTTTGCGCGAGAAGTGAGTTGTGGTAACTTTCGTGGATATCCATCGTTCATTTTATGGTAAAAATTCTCAATTTGTGGGAAAAGTTCTCAATTTTGTGGTAATTTTTATGTACCACAACTCAATTTGTGGTCACTTCATCTTACCACGTGGTAAGTTTTTATAAAACTCTTTATTTACCATTGATTTCTGATTTAATATCAATATCTTGAATAATCAAGCATATCTATCGCTTTAAATTTTATTCTCTAATTCCAAAAAAAATTCAAAAATCAAAAAATGAAAAAAATATTTAGAATTTTTTCCGTCAAAAATAAAAAATGTTCCCACTGAGTGGTTTCCATGGAAAGTTACCACTGGGTCCCACAGGGATTGGCCTAGGGCTGTACAAGATTTAAAAAAACATTGCCGGGTTACCGTAGAGGCCTAAAAAATCGCGCCTCGGCGGCAAGCCGCCTCGGCATTAAGAATGCGCATCTAAATTTTTATATGTCCTTCTTTCTTTTATTTTTCCCTTCCCTTTCTTTTCTTTTTCTTTTTTTCCCTCCTCTTGCTCTCATTTACCTTTTTTTTCCTTTTCTCATCATTTTTCAAAATTTTAAATTTTTATCAAAAATCTTGCCTATAAAAGCAGACTATGGAACCTTTTAATGCCTCTTAATCAATATTATACAGCATAAAGCATATTAAATGAAAGTAATTACGTATAAATTTATTTTATTATCTTATTTATTAATTCTTTAGCATGTATTGTTTAATATTAACTTTTCTGTACATTAAATATGATATCTCCAAAGTATGAATGCCTTGTAACGAAACGAAAACTTAATTTTATGTTGAATATTTGTCACAAACATTAGATTATTAAAATATATGTTGGATATCCCTTAGTATGAGACTTCATGACTCTTGTAGTCTAACGTGAGCTTTGGATTGCAAGCTCTGTGGTTAACGAACATAAATTAATTGTAAAGTTTTCAAAATTTTTCATCGTTTCTATCAGCATCTATTTTTCCTTTAAAATAATATATTTGTATGAATACAATATTTAGTAATTTTTTTATTTCCCATAATTTCATTCAAAATTTCAGAAAAAATTAATTTCTATTCAATATTATTTCAGCTTCAAAACACTTCATTCTTATAGATGTTGATTCACTAAAGTGTGATACTCAATGTCTTATTTCAATGAAAATTGTTCTGCAAATTTATTTCACTTTTGACCTCACTTTTTCCGTAATTCAATTTTTTACTTTTAATATTTTAGATCTTCATAATATCATTTGAAAAATTAACCATATAAAAAAATCAAGTTATCAATTCACTTTTTCCGTAATTCAAAAATCAAAAATATAAATAATATATCTTTTTATCAAATATTATTATTATATTCTATGAAAAATGAGGTCCGGAAATTTTGCGGATTCCCGTAACTCAATTTTACGGAAAAAGTGCAGTAAACTATTCAAAATACGGAAAAATTGGTGTAAACTAATGATTTTACGGTAAAATCACGGAAAGTCCCGGAAGAATATATGTGCCTATATGAAATTATACAAAAATGAATCAAACGCATTTTAAAAGATTGTTCTTGTATTATAAATGCTATTCGCAGATTTATTAGTTGAAGAAAATTACCAAATTTTTGCCGATTTACAAAAAATGATTTACAAAGCATATTTTTATAAGGCTTTAAAAATCTTTAAAATGTGACCGGTGACGGAAATCCATGGTAACCAACCGCGGTTCCCGTTTGGAATGCCATAGATTGGCCTAAGTATTTCTTAATAGAATGTGAAATAAAGTAAAATTAACTATATTCAAAATGGAAAAAAATCCAAAAAAATTTTGAAAAAAAGAATTTCATGATAAAAAGCATAAATTTTGCATCAGAAAATTAAATTCAGGTATTTTTTTGAAATAGAAAGAGTCCTAAAATTAGTTAAAAATCATTTTTTATTCAAAAGAAACGCTATTTTTAAGGAATTGAAAAGAATTTTATTTAATAATATTTTATTTATAGAATTTGCATATATCATATGCATAGACATATTGAATTGTAAACTGAGAACACTAATTACATTAACTTGTCGTTCAAATTATTGCATCGAGAAAAAAGTGCTATAAATTTACTCAATTAGTTTACAAACGTAAATATTTGGCATAAACTTTACGTTTGTAAACTAATTTGGTAAACTCGTAGTTCAAATTATTGCATCGAGAAAAAAAGTGCTATAAATTTACTCAATTAGTTTACAAACGTAAATGTTTGACATAAACTTTACGTTTGTAAACCAATTTGATTAAATTTAGTAAATTTTAGTTCGAATGCAAGTTTTCTCGGTAAATCATTTTTTAGACCTCAAATGAGATGTATGATCATATGAGTCACATATGATTTAATCCGAATATGTGTGAGAATTGAGTTTAAAACGAAGTTTATTTTTTGGACTATATTTCGCCATTTTAAAATGTGTAATAATGATATAATTCGCATGAAATTGAAAAATATTGACTGGATGTGTAATGGTTTTATAATTGCAATGTTGATTTGATCGAATTTAAATGAATATATAACGCGATGAAATTTCGAATTGCTCAAATGTCTGTAATTCATATATGGTGCACATATTAATATTACATTTCGTTGATATTTACCACATAAACCTTTAAATATTAAGTCATTTTAAAGTTATATGCGATTTAGTTCAAAATGCACGTTTAGAAAAAGACGATAACGATTAAATTACAAAATCGATAACGACCCGAAAAAAATTGAATGCACTTTCAAAAAAATTTCAAAAGGTAAAAGTTGGCTTTTTATACTTGGTATATGCACTTAATATATGATAAATATTCATTTTAATTTCAATACTTCCTAAATTGTTCTAAAATCAGTCTGGTGGGATTAATTTGTCTGCCATGTCAAATTTTCAAAAAAGTATGCAAATAAAAGAGTATACGAATAACATATTTAAAACAGAAAAAAGAGTCTAGTTTTGGATAGTGTAATTCGATTTCTTGGAAATTTTTTGAAAGAGTATTCAATTTTTTCTCATAAAATTTAGGGCGTATGGATATTTAAAAAAATATTTTCTTCATTTTTAAGATGGGTAAAACATCTAAGTTACACACTCGCATTGTCATGGTCAATGACGTTCGAAATGGTCAAGTTTCAGGAACTATATACTGCATTGGAAAGAATGGAATGTCGATTCTTACTACAAAATTCGATTCTTTCAGAGGGCATTTGAAACAAACAGCAGAGCCAATCGGAATGGAGTATCATGAAGTAGAAAGGAACATCTTACGGTGCTCATGGAATCCTCAATCTTCAGAAATACAACTTCTTGAAGATAATGGAGTGAGAGTTGAAGATCAACCTGTAAACACTAGAACAGAGACACAACGCTATGATCAAGATACTCAATTACTTTCAGATCTTACAACTCCTCCCAATAGAGTAAATTCTCAACCTATTTCTAATGATAACAGCTATGGATTCCCTGAATTCTTAGATCCACTAGATGACCAATTCAGATTTGATAATAGTAATATCGATATCCAAATTGCTGATGATTTTCTCTTAATTTATTAATACTTTTTACTTTCAATTTTTGCAAGTAAAAGAAACTATATATTGACCAATATTTCATTCATCACAAAAATAAGATTCATGAATATTTTAATCTCACAAAAGTATTACATATTGTTATATTCTATAAATATCTTTGTTAAATTCTAATATTTGAAGAACTATTGCTTCTAATCGGCATTGTCTACTCCAACTTCAGCACATGATTCTTTTAAAAAGCTTTGAGCTTGATTATTTGCTCAAATTTTAAATTCTCTTTTATGAGATTTATTGGAATTATTCAGCTTCTCTTAATCTGCTGAAAATTACTGGTTTCGATATCAAATATTTAACAACATTTTTTTTCAAAGAGATAATTGATGCTTTTTCTTTTTGCAAAAAGATCAATTGCTCTTTTCCATTATAACCAGAACCAGTTAATTTTGCAGCTATCAGACAATATTAATGTAAAATTTAGTGGTATTCGATCGAAAAAATTTCCTTTCCAATATAATTTGAATTTTGGCAACGCAATATGCCAAAGTAATACATCGAATAGTATTAGGTCGTCATTTGGACAAAATATTCTCGGTGATTTATCTCAAAATTGGAATTTGTCTAGTAATTACAATTTTGAGATAAATTTGAAATTGAGACAAACTTTATCCTTATGTAAATAATTTTATTAATGATGCTTCTAAGTTTAATTATGTTCGAGGATAAGCAGTTCCCCCCATACATTTGTTGGTACAGATTACTTTAACTACAATGACATTTTCAAATTCCTTCGAGGAATTTATAATACAGATAATCTTACTTATGCTGATTCAGTAACATTATATCCGTCTTCAACGCATCATCTACAAAATGAGTTACTTAAAACAACATGCCCTTTGATCGTTGGTAACGTTAGTGAAAACCCAGGAAGATATGTAACTGAAGATGAGCCTTGGATTTTGAAGCCTTATATTATCATTGACTTTCATCACACAAGAGTAACACTCACATCGTACACAATTTTATTGAATGCCTTAGTTCCCAGATATATGCGATCTTTTAGAATTATGGGTGAAGTTGACACTGAAAAATGGGCGACTCTTGAGGAACATTATAATGTAACTCCATATTTGGATCCGGAAATAACCAAAGATGGTAGGCATCTTGAAATTAATCAAAGATTGTATCGGTATTACTTTAATATTAAAAGGAATGGTACTTTTTCTCGATTTAAGATTGAAAACCTTGGACCAGATTCATATACTGGCGCTTATCAACCTCATGCTAATATTCTTTCAATTTCAAAGTTATTATTTTTCGGTACGATATCAAACCAAAGAATTATCTTTTCACCTGAAAGAGTTTCTAAGATATCGGCTAATATCCTCAATTTTGGTGTGTTATCTGTATTCTCATGAAGATCATGAAAAATATTCAGAAATTATTTTTCAGAATTCAATAATATATTCTTGATATATGTTTTATTAAATGCGGACAAGCAATTATAATGCAACATATCCATTAATTTTTTTCATATTTTTTTTCTAAATTATCTTCTGGCAAATGTTTATTTATTATCATAATGGTCATATAATCTATCACTAGACCTAAAAATGAATGGTAAATCAAATCATCAGTCTCTATATTATAATCAAACTTATTGTTTAGAATAATGTTCTGAAATTTTGAATAATATTAACACGTTATATGATAGTTTTCGGAGAACTGATTTTTCTCCCAAATTATATCCTTTAACATAAAAAAACTTAAGTTCTCAATTGAATTCAATGCTCAGAATTTTGGCCTTATTTTTTTGTAGTTTTCGTCATGATAAAAAGAATTCATATAAAATGTTGGGATGCCTTTTTGCTTATCTTGGTTTGAACTCACAAAAATTATTCATTTTTTATCATGAAGTGTACACTCACGTACAAGGCCAAAACATTTGTAGTCAGCATTTCTGAAGATGGATTTGGTGATTTGTTATTCGATGAAGCAGCTATGCAAACAAAAATTGCTCCAAAAAGAATAATAATTGCATATAACAAAAATGGAGAAGATATACAAATAAAGAAAGACACCAAAATCAAAGACATTGGAGTAACAAGCTTTATTGTTAAAGATGCAGGTGTAAGTGTTAACTGGAAGACAGTATTCTTTTTAATGTATTTTGGTCCGCTCCTTATTGAAATGCTTTTAGTTTTATTGTTGGGAGACAAAGTTAAATGGAATTGCTACTTCACAATTGGATTCATCATGTGGGAGCTTCATTATATCAAAAGAACATCCGAATCACTTTTCTTTCACAACTATTCTCGTTCTTTGATGCAAGTAGGAGAAGTTTTTGTAAATTGTCTCTATTACTGGGGATTTACCATTGCAGTTAACTACAATATGATCAAGAAAGCTCAAACTGTTGAAAATGTTGAATTATGCCAATATATTGCAATTCCATTTTGGTTTGTTTGCGAGTGCTTAAACTTTTATTCCCACAACACACTTGCTCACCTTCGTCCTAAAGGTTCCAAGGAGCACGTACTTCCAAAAGGATTCTTATTCAACCACATCACAGCTCCTAACTATACATTTGAAATTCTTGGATGGTTTTGCTTTGCAGTTTACAGTGACTTAACCAGTGCAATTATATTTGCCTCATGTGGTGGTATTATAATGTTCTTTAAAGCACATCAAAAGAGAAAATGTTACATCAAAAGATGGCCTGAAGCAAAATATAGAGGAAGACTTACACTAATAAGATTCTTATAAAGCATTTCATAATCACTTTTATCTTAGCATTTAAAAGCTTCTTATTTAATATATGCTTTTTTATATCTTTCATGCAACCAAACATTATTGGAATTGTTGACATGCAATATTTCTTAATAGAAAAAAGGAGAATTATAAATGGTTAATATACATACTAATAGGGACATAGAAATGATAATTTTTTTTTAATTACAATAGGTCAATTGGGGAAATATATGAACTTATAATTTGATTTCTGTCATGATGCATCAGAGAAATGCCATTAATATTGATTGAATTCTTTGCATATTAACTTGCAAAAGGTATAATAAAAGCAAATCTGATTGAATTTTTTAAAAATGTAAGAAATCAAAATGTGAAGTAAAATGTCATCATTTTTAGACTATTAGATAATGCCATTCAAAAGCATGATAGATATTTTAGTGAAATGTACTTAAAAGGATTTTAATGTAATAGATAAATATCAAAAAAGATACTGAAATAAGTTGAAGACAAAAAAAAAACTGAAGGGTGTACTTATGGCACGGCCTTCAATCCAGTTGTCAGAAATTTGAATTAAATCAGATGGGGGTAAGTGCGGCTTGAAAGAAAAATATGCACAAAACATATATATCTAAAACAAGCAATTAATTCCACATAAATGTGAACTAATAGAAAACCATCAAATGAGTTCAAAACATCTATATGTTATAACTAAGAAACGAAAGAAAAAATGTCAAATGTATGCAAAACATATATATTTAAAAATTTAACAATTCTTTATATCTATATTAACAGAAAGTAAAGCATCAACAACCCATTGAGGGAAGTTTCCATCAGGATATCTTGCAGTGAAGAAATCTTTCAAGTATTTTCCGAGTTCTTTCTTCTTGATTCCTTCTCCAAGATAAGAAGTCAGTCTATTTTGGAATTCAACGTTATGAATCGTCAACAATTGGCCGCACATGTCTGAATGCTGCATATGGTAAAGAGCTGTCCTTGTTACGTGAGAACATGTCCAACAATGACATTCTTTTTCAATCGGATAATCTTGGTTTTTCCATTTAGAGACATGTTCGTTTCCTTTCCATGTCAAAGCAGTGCCAAATCTAGCAGTTCTCGTTGGATAAACACAATCAAACATGTCTACACCTAAAGCAATGCAAACTGCAATGTCATCAGGATATCCAACACCCATTAAATAGCGTGGATACTCGGGAGGAAGCCCTGCAATAGATGCATTGAGTGACTTCCAGAAAAGATCTTTGGATTCGGTGTTTGATAGGTTGCCAATGGCAAAACCGCCGAGTTTTTCCTTTCTTTTTGACATTTCTTCGGAACACAAGCGGCGAAGTTCAGGATCATGGCCGCCTTGTACAATAGCGAAGATGGCTTGGTCATCAGGACGTTCGTGAGCAGAAATTGTTCTGTCTAGCCAACGAATTGATCTATTCATCGCATCTTCAACGCGTGGACCTGTCATTGACATAGGTACATAGTCGTCTAATTGTAGAGCGATGTTAGATCCGATGGAATTTTGTATGTGTATCATATCTTCTGGTGTTAAAATTTTATCTGATCCGTCTGGATTCGTAGAATTGAATTTTAGGCCTTCTTCAGTGCCAACAGAAGGATCTGTATGACAAAACATTTGGAAGCCTCCTCTGTCTGTGAGAATACCATGAGGCCAGTTCAGCCATTTGTGAATTCCACCATATTCTTTGAGTAACTCGGGGCCTGGTCTGCGACTAAGATGATATGCATTTACAAAAAGAATAGGTGGTGTATGTGGAAGGCCTAAAATCTGTTCTGTTGTTAAGCCTTTTAAAGTTCCAAGTGATGCAAGTGGAATAAATACTGGAGTTTCAAATGAATAATCAGTTGGTCTGTGAAGACCCATTTTACCACTTCTTGCAGCCCCGTCAGTGGCTGTAACCTCAAAATCTATTATTTTCTTTGACATCAAAATTTGGCACTTTTTTACAAGATTTTAGTTGAATGAAAATATAAAACATCGGGTATATTTATGTAATAGAATGGCATTGATCATTTGAATATGTTTGTATAAATAATTCATCAAATTAACATCGTTATGTTTGAATCATTAATTTTTTTTTCTAATCTATGAGAGGATTGATAATACTAAGATTTTCTTGACACATACACCATGCGGTGCATTATTTTATTTGCTTAATAGCTTTAATTTATTCATCTTGAGAAAATTGATTCCATAATGCATTCTAAACTAAGCTACAATCCTTCAACTCTCAGATAATCTATGTGAGAACTAGCAAAGCTATTTCATTTATCAAAACTAAAGAATGAATTCATTGATCTAAAATAATTCTTCAAAGCATACTGCTCTCAACAGTCAATGACGCATCGAAGACTATACATTTGAATATGGCTATTCATCATGATTTATATTTTACTGCATTAACCACATGTGACAAATTGAAATCTGACAGAAGATTAATCCAAAGTCAATTACTGAATGCAGAACCCATGCGGTATCAATCATGGGCATAAGGTGAATTTCGATGAGCGAATAATTAGCATTGTAAACACTTTAAAAAACCAGGCAGTTATCGAGTCGAATCCTCTGAAAAATTGTGAAGAAACTATTTGAATTCGGACTCTAGATTTTGTGAATAATATTTAAACCGTAATAAACAGAAATTCATCAAAAGTGACAGCTCTCAATTTTTTGACATTTGTAAATTCTAAATTGAATGAGAAAAATGAAATAATACTAAGCATAATACAATATTCTAGATTTAATTATAATTAGGAAAAAGTTAGTTTTGAGAGTACTTTTCATAGGCATATAGAATGAAATCTTCTGAAAAATAATATCACATAAACTCATATTATTTTCTAATATATAACTATTTTATATAAAAATCAAATTCAATGATCTTAAAAGCGAAGGATAAACCTCAAAATTTACGAATATAATGAGTGGGAATATAATGCTTATCTATCATAAAACCATATGAAATATTAATTTTTGCTTTACGCCTAATTTTTGACGACAATTAGCAAAAAATGTTAAATGTTAACACTCAGTCCATTTGAATATGAAAAATAAAACTGACTTTGATTAAATGTTTTTATTTATCATGCAATTCTTCTTGCGACCAAAGATTTGAATAAAAGTTCAAAAAATAAGATAGCTTAAAAAATAATATACGGTAGTGTTTACTAATAGATGAATAGTATATAAATTCTATTAAAATGGATTTGATCCAAAAAAATATATAAAATTTGATCATAAATAAAATCGTTTTAAATTACTTCTTCATTTAAATTATAACAATTATTTTTGATTTTTATTTATCATCCACATTCAAATTTGAATCTAATATGATACCCTACGTTCCCAACTTCTGGAAAACGGTTTTTGGGGCGGCGACAAATTTGCCCAGCCAGTAAAGTATTCAATTTTTTTTGCATTTTTTTAAAGCTTCTTAACTTAAATCATGGAATGTCTCAAAGACAAAAGTAGCATACAGCATGTAAAGCTAAAGAAAGATAATCATAATTAATACCTTAATTTTTAATATTACGCATTTTTAGGTGCAAAATTTAAGAACATTCTAATACAATAGAGCAGTTTCCAAAAGTAGCATACAGCATGCAAAGCTAAAGAAAGATAATCATAATTAATACCTTTAAAGTTTAAAATCTTGATTTTTTTTAAAATCAAATATTTATAACTTTAATACATACAGCTTAAACTTATACTTGTTTTCTCTTGTGAGAAAGCAATCTTACAAAGCTAACAATCCTAAAAAATAAAGAATTAAAATTTCATACAATCTTTCTTCGAATCTGTTCTTTTCTTAAGCCGCGAGCGAAGCGAGTGGCTTAGTTTCGTAATTTCATACAATCTTTTTTCGAATCTGTTCTTTTCTTAAGCCACTCGCTTCGCTCGCGGCTTAGTTTCGTAATTTCATATAATCTTTTTTCGAATTTGTTCTTTTTGTCTCCCGCGAGCGAAGCGAGTGGCTTTTTATTTTTTTTTAATTTTTTTTTCTTTCTTACTTTTTTTCCCTTACTTACAAATTTGATAGTAACTTACCAAATCTCTCTATCATATAATAATAAATTAATCCATTTTTTGTTTCAAATCTGACACTTTACATTTCTGACATGTAAACCTGTCACTTTTCACTTCACCTCACTGGGCAAGTTTGTGCCCCCCTCACGGTTTTTCACCCTTATGATCAGTTTCAGACACTTTGGGAATCTCCCAAACTTTGATATTTTGCATTATGATAGAGAAACGTGTCTAGTTTAACGCACAGTTGTTTTAAAGGCAAATGATGATATCACATGAAATTATCAAATTATCAAATTTTGAAGTACCAGTCCAAAGGGTTAATTAGATCCTACACAGATGTGCGATAGTGAAACATATGTGTTCTTGATTTGAGAAGTCCTACTGATAGAGGTATGAATCTCACAGCTTTGTGTGAGTGTGTCTTACACTTGTATAGAGTGGAATATGCGCCGACATATATTATATAATAACATGTAGTTGATAATTATGAAAAAATAGAATTTGATGCGAATGATATTGAAAGTTGTTTTGTAATTTGATATTTTTCTTATATGTGTTAATTAGTAAATGGCTTGTTTGTTGTGATCGTACTGTGAAAAATGAAAGGTATTTTAAATTAAAAAAATGAGATTTTGAGATATCTCTAGAATTAAGAATTTATTATGTATTTGACTTTTATATAACTATGTGTAAAGGATCTCGATGTCTATATGCTTTAAATAAAATTAAATAAAATGAGATAAAAAATTAAAATGGACAAGAAGATATATGGAAATGTAATTTGTATTGTATTGGTTGTTGGCAAAATGATTTTAATACAGATTTAAGGATTTGGAATGGATTTGAAATTAAATGATTTTTATTCAAGGAATAATAAGATTTTGAACTGGTTTTTATTTTGAGAATGTAAACTCCTTCCATAAGATATGTATTAGAAAGATCAATTTTAAACTTTTTGAAAGAATTGTTTTTTTGTTGAGTGATTTTCTCTCATTTGATAATATATTTAAGTTGGCGTATCTTACGCCCTTCCAAAAATATGTATTAGAAAGATCAATGTCAAACTTTTTGAAAGAATTGTTTTTTTTGTTGAGTGATTTTCTCATATTTAATAATATATTTAAGTTGGCGTATCTTACGCCCTTCCAAAAATATGTATTAGAAAGATCAATGTCAAACTTTTTGAAAGAATTGTTTTTTTGTTGAGTGATTTTCTCTCATTTGATAATATATTTAAGTTGGCGTATCTTACGCCCTTCCAAATATTTCTTAAAAATTTAAATTTGTCTCATCTCCTACTCTTAATTTAAAAAAATTTCAAAATCCATAATAGTAAACATTTCTTATTTTTATTTAAATCTGAAAAAAATAAATTTAAACAATTTCTCTACACACGACGGTTTCGGCGGTTTTCAGAATGGTTGACAACTGAATTCATCAGGATAATGTCGGTTGGGGTGCCCTTCTTGGCCTCCTGAGTACTCACCAAGATACCCCAGCTCCCGCAAAACACCTCCCATAGGTGAGCATTAACTGATGAAGTTATTGACAACTTTATCTGATTTTTTTCTTTGTTTTTTTGTTAAGATTTCTTAACCAAAGACTCGAAAACAAAACTTCGCTTCAAGTTGCTGTCTTCCCAGTTACTCTGTCGCAATCTTTTGTCTGATTGCGTGCAAAGTTCTGCTCCTTTGAGACTCTGCCCGACAGATGCATCTGGGAGACAGCACCCAAGCAGCTTATCGTTTGAAGTTGCTGTCTTCCCAGTTACTCTGTCGCAATCTTTTGTCTGATTGCGTGCAAAGTTCTGCTCCATGAATTATCAAATATGTGCCATTTCAGGAGAGATAACAAGCTCATGCCTCCTGGAATGGCGGATTGTTCAACAATCTTCTTCTGATTGCAGAACTTTCAACCGACAAGAGTGTACAATACACTCTTGTCGGTCAAAGTTTCGCATTCAAGTTATGAATGGGGAACTTGATATCATTCTGGGAGACATGCAGTGACAATGTCTCCCGGAATGAGACATTGTGACCGACAAGAGTGCACAATACACTCCTGTCGGTCAAAGTTTTGCAATCACATTCTGATTGCAGAAGATTGTCTCATTCTGGGAGACATTCAGAGGCAATGTCTCCCGGAATGAGACACTGTGACCGACAAGAGTGCACAATACACTCTTGTCGGTCAAAGTTTCGCATTCAAGTTATGAATGGGGAACTTGATATCATTCTGGGAGACATGCAGTGACAATGTCTCCCGGAATGAGACATTGTGACCGACAAGAGTGCACAATACACTTAATGTTTTCAAATTTTCAGATTTAAATTTAATCTTTATTTTCATCATCATTTATAGTCTTGTTCCTTTATACAGTTATAATAAATTATCGTCAGATTCTAATATTTATGATTCTTACTACTCAATTCAATATAATTATGTTAGTCACTCATATTCAGGAGAATAATTTAAAAATCTATAGCTCATATTTTGATAGTTATATATTTAGATGATATATATTGCAATTCCGGTTTCAACACGATCAAATGCCAAACCAAGACAAAATATATATGAATTTTCAAAATATCGATTTACATTAGAATCTATATCTAATTTTATCAATACACAAGTAGTGAATGTTCAATACATCTTTGAGCAACGTGAATAGCACAATTTTATAGGATTATTAGTTGATTATATAAAATATAAGCCAAATCGAATCTGCTGTATAGTACTTTAGTTTATCATTGAATGTTAAATGTGTTCATATAAATATTTGAGTCAGATATCGCATTTTCTAATTTCAAAATTTATCTCATGAAGTTAGAATTTATTTGATCATACAACATCATGTTAGTCAAACCAGAGTTCAATGGCGATTCTAAAATGGAACAAATGCTTGTTTTATCAAAATGTTAAAATATTAATCTAAAAAACTTAATATCTAACCAAACCATTCTAGAATTATTATATACAGGTATGGGCAATCTAAATGCACACGGAATTCGGAAAATTAAAAAGAATATTTATGAGATTATTAAATCTTATGTAATTCAATGAAAAGTAGATAATATGAATATCCATAGGCTATATATCAACATATGAGTTTTTGGTTTGACCAATACTATACTAATGTGATCAAATTAATCTGATTTCTTAGATTTTCATTTGAAGCATTTGCAGTAGTAGGGGTACCTTTATATATTAACATATTAAAAAATTGCGCTCCGATTCGCAGTTTCTTCATGATTTTGAGATTGCATTAGATTTCGCGATGCAGAAAAAAATTACTTTAGATTCCCGTCAAACTCTAGGTATAAGCATGTCTCTATATGTAGAAACTGTCTGCGCTATTTATTTCCCGGCTCAAAAAACCACGGTGTCTGTGTGAGGAAAATACCCATTTTAGGACCCTGGTAGGGGGTCATGAAAATTTTCCAAGAGTTGGAAATATAGGGTATAAAATTTGATCATAAATAAAATCGTTTTAAATTACTTCTTCATTTAAATTATAACAATTATTTTTTTTATATTTTTTTGGATCAAATCCATTTTAATAGAATTTATATACTATTCATCTATTAGTAAACACTACCGTATATTATTTTTAAGCTATCTTATTTTTTGAACTTTTATTCAAATCTTTGGTCGCAAGAAGAATTGCATGATAAATAAAAACATTTAATCAAAGTCAATTTTATTTTTCATATTCAAATGGACTGAGTGTTAACATTTAACATTTTTTGCTAATTGTCGTCAAAAATTAGGCGTAAAGCAAAAATTGATATTTCATATGGTTTTATGATAGATAAGCATTATATTCCCACTCATCATATTCGTAAATTTTGAGGTTTATCCTTCGCTTTTAAGATCATTGAATTTGATTTTTATATAAAATAGTTATATATTAGAAAATAATATGAGTTTATGTGATATTATTTTTCAGAAGATTTTGTGTTCTTCTTCAAAATTTTATTTTTTTATTAAAAAGAATCTTTACAAAATATACATTTACTTTAATTAATATTTAAAAACGTGCTCTATCAAAAGTTCCAAAAATTCAATATTTTAGCTTTTCTGAGGTGTCACTTTTGATGAATTTCTGTTTACAACAAAACTCGCCTCAACTAATATTTTTATGTAATTTATTTCTCATAAATCATGATTATTTTTATCATGCCCACCCCCATATCAATTTTGAGAACACATTGAAATTCTTTCAAGTCCGAATATTTATAGTCTTTCAATTCATTTGGTTGAATATATTATATTGTAGTTTCTTTAACGACCCTTTTAACTTTGAATTTGAAACGTTTTTTATTAAAATTTCTTCATTTTGTAATTCAAAAGGAATCTTATACAAGTCACTGAACATCCAATATTTTTGTTAATATAATTTTCCAAATCAGTATTTCTCAAAGGTTGGATTTTTTTTTTCACTTCATTTTTATGGTTCAATTTCCAAAATTTTGCCATGAATTAACACGTGTTGGTATTCTTACAGAATGTGGACTATTAAATCTTATAATTAATGGTCAAAAAATCAGAACGATGAAGTCTTCGGCTGTTTGTTTTTCAGATTTAATCAGAGATAAATGCATTAAGGATAAAATATTGACTTCTTATAAAACAGACCTTAATATAAAATGTTTAGATTCAATTGACATACTTTCAAAGTTTCTTGAAACAGGAAAACTTGAATTTCCAGAAGATGAAGATCATTATCACGATATTTTTGAAATCGGAAAACATTTTGGGAACCAAATTTTGATCCAAATATATATTGAATATATTAAATTAGACAAATATATTACAAAAGAAAATGTATTTCAGAAATATCAAATTTCGGTTTTGGAAAATGACACTTCAACAGAAAAAGAGTGCATTGAATTCATTTCATCACACTTATATTGCTTTTCTGACAATGATATCATTGAAAATTTCGCAAAAAATGGTTATGAATTTTGTGAAAAAATCCTTAGCTCGAAACAGTTAAAGATCATTAATGAAGATAAGTTAGCCTTATTACTTTTAGAGATCTGCAAGATGAACAACGCATTATTTGATTTATTTAGATATATCAAATTATCCTTTTGTTCTAGTGAAATTTTAGACCAGATTTATAACTTTTCTATTGAGCGTTCATTTGAATCAGTTCTTCTTACTATATATAATGAAACAATAAAGAATTATCATTCATATCTAAGAGAAAAGTTTGAAATCTCAAATCAATCTATTTTATCATTCGAAAAACCTTTTACTGAAACCAAAATCACTATATCAAATAATTATATGAATTTTTATGACTTTGTAAAGGCATCAGAAGTAATTAAAATGGAATTATCAGCTTCAACAATTAGGGATGGTAGTTTATCAAATATTAATTCTTATCGAAATGATGTTAATTTCCATACACAAAGTTATACAAATTCATGGATAAAAGCTGATCTCAAAGGATATAAATTAAAACCGATGTTTTATATCTTGCAATCAACAGTTGTAGAAAATGATTCTCATTTTTTGAGGAGATGGAAGTTAGAAGGAATCAAAGAAGATGGAACAACAATTGTATTAAACAGTGATAAATATTATGAATTTAATAGAGGAGAAATCAAAGAATTTCCACTTCAAACAAATGAATATTTTGTATCTTTCAAATTAACTCAAACAGGAGAGAACTCCAGTAATACGAATTATTTACAAATTAATATTTTTGATTTTATAGGTGATTTTGTAAAAATTTAATAAATATTGTATATAATTATAGGATGACAAGAAGGATGGTAATGACAAGTTTGTAAAATACATCTAGTTTGTTAGATCTTCTTTCTAAACTAATATTATTGAATGACATAACAATTATACAATCCAAGAGATAATTATATTGCAGGAACGTTGTAAATTCTTGCTGTTGGTTTTTTGGTTGAAAGTGAAGCTTTGACTGATTTTCTTGTATCTCCTTCAGATAATTCTCTTATCGGAATTTCCGTGTGGTTATTAAGTTCAAGAATTTCCAATAATCTTTTACTATTATTTTATTCATAATGAGGACTCATTCCTTGGAGGAGAGAATAGAAATGGAAGTGCTCAATGATTGAAATATATATGAGAAGTTGTGGGAATAGGCAATAAATATATCCTGTCCATCTTATTTTCATGAAAGAGTTAAGTAGATCATTCATATCCATTGTTACAAGTGTTACATTTAATTGAATCACGAGTAAAAGCATATTTTGATGCAGAATCTACTGAATTGAATATTAAAGAAACTGCATAAATGAATAAAATCAAAGATGGGCCACTTATGAAAAGGATATAGAATGAAACACACTTGCTGTCTTAGAAAACATTAACATCTGTTATAATAAACAAGGCCCACACAATAAAAACCTCGATGATCCAAAAGACAAAGTCAAATGTATCAATCTAATATGTTAATACTTGTAAGTCAAATGAAACCATATAAGATCTAATTGGTCCTTGGATATCTATGATTGGAACTACAATTAATGTTGAAATTACTAATGTCAAACCAGAAGCAATAAGAATCGGAGCTATAATTGAGCATATAACATCGCTGTTTCTTCCAGAAAATTGGACTAAAATCGGCAGTTGTTTTTTAAACGGTATTAATGTAATTCTTGTATTTTTCTGGAACATCATTATATATATATTTCGTGTTCCATCATTATATACTTGCTAATTCTATTCTACATAAGTTAGAATATGAAATATATGATGAATTAGGGAATTCAACCGATCCGATATCATTGTAAGGTTGTTTCCTCCATTAGGATTGAATTCTTCTGGAAGCTTAATACCCATGGCAACATTAATCAAAAATGTAATTGTTTGAATTAGGCATGTTTGTAAAGACATGCAGATCAGGATAATATCCCATATCTACATTGAATAAATTTGATATTGTATTAATAAATTTCTTCTGGAATTGCTTATTTAAAAAGTTATTTTCGTAGTCATATGCAAAAACTGCAATTGAATGTGGTTCAAGTGGAAATTCATTGAAAAATCATATAGATCCACTTTTTGTAAAAAGTTAAGATATTTTATCATTTTAGGAATATCTTATTTCAAATGGTGCAGATATTAATGCTAAAAATTATTGGAATTCCACCCCTCTTCATTTTGCAACTGAGGTTAATTCCATAGAGATAGCAGAACTTCTTATTTCTAATGGTGCAGATATCAATGCTAAAGATGAAAACGAAAACACCGCTCTTCATTTAGCAATCGATAATAATTTCAAAGAAATAGCAAAACATCTTGTTTCCAACGGTACAAATATAAAAGCTAGAAATATTGGTGAATACACTCCTCTTGATAATGCACGCCTTAATCTTTTCGAAGAAATAATAAAGCTTCTTATTTCTAAAAAATAAAGAGTCCCAAAATCCCTACCCCAAAAGTGAATAACATTTTGCAAAAATGAGAAAGCAAAACTCGTTTTTTTTAAGAGTTTATTGGAAAAAGGAATGCAATTCTAACCATAATTACATAAATAGCAATATTTATGAGTATGTGTCATATCTATCGATACTATATATATATATGAAAGACATATGCGAAATTATTCTATTGGAGATGGAAAAAATATATCCAACTTCACATTTTTCAAAAAAAAAAGTGTATTGCTACAAAAAAAGATGCGATTAAAAGAATTATAAAACAAATAAATATTTAGTCTTTAAGTTTTTTCAGAATGAATGAAATAGAAGAGATACAGCGAATTGCTGTTGGTAAGAAATCCAATGATTTCGAATTAGATCTCTTCACTTTATCAACAACTGAATTTAACTCATTGATCAATTGATTCAAACTCAAAAACATTTTTTCTTCTTCTTTGTATTTAAATAAATCCAATTTTGATGAAAATAAATCCAAAAATTTTGTGTTCATCTCTATAATGACTTTTCTCTTTTGAATTTCATTCTTTTTGGTTTTCATAATGTATATTTCAAGCATTTTTATCAAAGAAATATTAAGCAGTATCAATTTCTCAAATCTATTTCTTAAAACTGACAAAAAATCTTCATCAAATGTCAGAATTTTTTGACTGTCAATTTTCTTGTTTGTCACTTTTAATTTGTCATAAATAAACTTGTAACAAATTTTTGAAAAGATAATAATTGTTTCTTCATTGACACTTTTCATTTCTTCACTTTTTGCAAAGTTTTTAACGAAATTAGAAATGTCAAATAAAACTGTTTTTGATGATTCCAAAAAAGTTCTAAAGACAAATTCAGCATCTTTCTTGTTTTCTATTTTGTTTTTAAGTATTTCTTGTGATATTGAATGAATTACTTCAGTTTCTGCTTTTGTATCACTTTTTGACATTTTTACAATTATTGACATCAATTTCAATGAATTTATCTTGGATTTCAAGTCTAAATCATTGATATTTGAAATATTTTTGATGATTTCTTCTTCATTCTTTCCTTTCTTAAGTAATAAAAGTGACATCGTAAATCTATCGTCTTTCTTTTGCAACGATAAATATTTACAAAGAAAATCACAAAATAAATCATTAATTTCTTCCTGATTTGCATCAAATAGATTTTCAGAACAAAATGAAACTAATGATGCTGGTATTGAATCAATATCATTTTCATTTAGAGAAGTGATCGCAATTTCTAAAATTCTTTTTGCCATGTAAATGTCATTTTGACAAAATTTAATTAAATTCAGAATATCTTTGTCAAATTGTCTTAATTTTGAGATAATTTCTTTCGGTTTAATTTTTTTATTTGGTAAAATACCAAAAGAATCAATTTCTATTTGATGATTTTGCAGCAAATGACAAATTTCTGATTCATAATCTTTCAAATTTGTCATTAATTTCAAACAGAAATCTTTCTGTGATAAACAAAAAGAATTGATCAATTCAACTGTAATAGAATGAATACAAATGATACTTTTAACATCATTTTTGTCACAATTGTAAATTTTGTTCTCAAACAATTTAAAAATGTCACTTTTCTTTAATAAATTTCCAGCTTTCAAGAAACATTTCAACATCGAAGAACATTTGACAATTAAATTGAAATCAAAGCCATCATTTTTCTTCATCAAATCATTTCTTAAATTCACTTCATTTTTGTCAAAAACCGATAAAATGAATGGTTTCAATTTGTCAAATAAAAAATTTGACATTTCCTGACAATTTTCTAATTGATCTGTTAATGTATCGAAAAATAGAATGGACATTTTGTCATTTTCATGTATTAAGAATAGAATATCATCAAAAAACTTTTTGTACACATCAGAAAATTTGAAAAATTTGGCAAAAACAAAACAAGCTGAAATAATTCCTTTTTCATTGCAATTCTCGTTGTGCATCGATATCAATTTCGTAACATTAATAACGAATGATGAGTTCTTTTCAATGTCACTTTTCTCCTTGAACGATAAATCAATAACCGTTTTGACAAGCAAAGTAAAAACCTCTTTTTCCAAATCATTGTTAACGAAAACAAAACTTTCTATAATTGGAATAAAAAGTTCCATTTTCTCTGGATGTAAATGTGATAAATCATATATAAAAAGTGACATTTCTTTTTGGAACAAACAATTAGAAAAAGAAATAAACAAAGATGATGTAATATCTTGTAAAAACGTGACACTATTGAATTCATCAAATAAAGTTTTTGTCAAAAATAAACCGTAATTGAATAAATTCAATTTTGGTGAACTGACCAAATAAAGAACAAAATCTGACAATGAATTTTGGAGTTGTAACAAGCATTCACTGTGATTTTCAATTGATTTTTGTAAATTACGACGATTTTGTGAATTACTAAAAAGTGACAAAAATAAATCATTCAATTTTTTCTGATAAATTTTGTAATAAAAGAATAAGATGAACAAAATCCAAAAATCGAATACTCCGAGGTTCTTTTCTTCTTGAAATTCATGAATAAATTCATTTCCAATAACCGTTGACGATAGAAACCGTTTAAATATTTCTATCAAAAATATCTGACAATCTGTTTCTAAATCAAGGTTTTCTACCATCAGATTCAGTTGTTTCCTTATATTTGAGACTGTTTCTTTCACATTCTTCTTGTCACAAACTTCTAAAAGAAAAGTTATCAAACTTGGCAATTCGTCACTTTTTGATGATGCGAGAAAAGTGACAAGAATTTGATAACGAAACTTTTCTTTTGAATTATTTGACATTGATGTCTCTGAGATCAAAAAGAAAACGTCTGATGTCATTTTTGGTTCTTCTTCAACTAAATTCAGCAAAAAATCCGAAATTTTTTCTTCATCAGAACAAATATTGAAGATTGACTTGAGAAGAATGGATTTCGCAACAGGATGCGATGATTTTATAGAATTGAAAATGAAATTTGTGTATTCATCACTGTTATTTTCGAAGTTTATAAATGAGATTTCGTTAATTATTTGATTTGTAATGTTTCTGATTAAATTTGTATCTGTTTCATATTCTGTTAGCTCGAATAGTTCTGTTGTCATCTTGTACATTTCGTATTTAATGATTTCTGTCGTAAATAAGATTTTGAATAACGATGAATTTTGATTTTGACCTTTTTTGAACCAATGAATGCATTTATGGATATCAACAAAGTATGGCCTTATTGAGTTCATCTTCATGATTACTTCCACTTTCGATTTTTGTTTGATAAACTCATTGAAATTTTTTATAATATTTTGAGAAGGTTGAATTAATGAGGGAATTCCTTCATCGTCGAAAGAAACTCCAATATCCTTCATCCATGATATGTCTGCTGTGCTTGAAACCCTTTTTCGTGTAGGAGAAACTGTCGTGGAGCTTGAATAACTCGACATTAAATTTTTTTGGAAAAGGGAAGTTCACATGGGAAGTAAAATTCAATAGTTTACAAATCACTTTTTATAATTTTTGGTTAATTATGATGCAAAAAGATTATTAAATCTATGGCAGTCCCAACGGGAACCGCGGTAATTTACCGAGGTTTCCGCACACCGGTTCCTTTTTTTAGGAATTTTTTAGATTAAAAAATATGCTTTGTAAATCATTTTTTTGTAAATCGGCAAAAATTTGGAAATATTCTGATGACAATAAATCTGGGAATAGTATTTGAAATACGAGAACAACCTATTTAAAAGTGTTCCGTACCGAAATGCATCACTAGAAAAGTGACAAAAAAGTGATACTTACTCTTATTTTGCGCGGCAATTTTTCTAAGTTATTTTGTTAAGCTAAATGTGTTATATATCAAATCAGCTTTATAAATATTATAGAAAAGTTTATTTTTATTTTATTTTTTATTATTATTATTATTTTTTTAAATTAAAAGAAAACATTAGAATTATATGGATATATTTAAATTAATTATAAAAATAAAATTGAATATATTGAAGTTTGAGTTTATAGGTATACAAATTTTAGAGGCATTTTGGCTGAGAACTATGGTCTGCGAGGTACATAGATAGAATCAGTACCTCGCAGACTATAGTTCTCTATATGGCGCCGAAAATTTTTGGTGAAATGTCGTCGCATTTCACCAAAAATTTTTCGGCGCCATAGGAAGAATTGGAGGGTGTGAGATACTATTACATGCTATAGTACTCATACCCTCCAGTTCTTAGCCAAAACGGCTAAAAATTGCTCACAATTTCAACAATTGTGAGCAATTTTCAGCCATTTTGGCTGAGAACTATGGTCTGCGAGGTACATAGATAGAATCAGTACCTCGCAGACTATAGTTCTCTATATGGCGCCCAAAAAAAAATTTATGATTGTTTTTTATCAAATCTTATCCATATTATTCTATTAATGTTAATTATATTTTATCAATTATATTTTTTAAATAATAAACACAAAATCCACTAATTTAAAATTGGCGCCAAATGTCACTTTTGCTAGTGATGCATTTCGGTATGATATATTTGAGAGGAGGAGGATTATATTTTTGAAAGGGTGAAACATTATGAATATGTTAATTATATAATAATATGTATTATTATAAAAAAGAAAAAATAAAGCACGTTAAAATTTTTCTTTCTTGATTTTTTACAAAATCTACTTAGAATTATGCAAAATATGACTAAATAATTATAAATTTCAAGTTAAATTTTAATTTTGATAAATAATTTAAATTTCAAAATATCAAGTTCAGTTCGACTATGTATGTAGTAATTCCTCAATAAAGTGCCAAAACCCTATTAAAATATATGAACATTTTCAACATTTTAATGTTTTTATTTAAAAATTTGATGGAATATGAGCTTCAAACAATTATTATGTAAATAAAAATAATTAAATATATGTATTTATTCGTATTACAACCGTAGTAAGTCGATTTTTTTGACCCTATATTACCGCACGGCAATGTTTTTCTCGATTTTGTACAGCCCTAATTAAATCTGTATAATCGAAGAATTTTCCGAAATGATAACTTGATAAGCTACTTTTTCAAAAAATTAAATTTGTCAGTCCAATAATATCATAAATAAGAAAGCACATATAATATATCATCTGTATTTTAACTGTTTGTCTTGTAGTCACGTGCAATTTGTATGATAATCAACATTCACTAAAATCTCCTCATGAAACATTGATTTTATATGATTTTCCTTTTCTAGAGCATGTGTTGATGAATATACATTCTGGTGGTTTAAAGACATTTTTTTGATGAATCCTTAGATACTAATCTGGCAGGAATGTTAATTTCTGATAAATATTACTCTGATCCTGGTAAAGTCCTCAGAGGAGTTGATTTATCTTATCCAAATCTTATTATTTCAAGCGAATGTCTTCAAATTTATGGAAATTCCATCAGTGATTACTGTTTTATGTATTCCAAAGATACTTTGGAATCATTTTCATTCCAACCTAATCCAAAACTCACCAAAATTGGACCTTATTCCTTCTATCAATGTACTAAATTATCCCGTATTGATTTATCACCCTGCACACAGTTAATAATTGTTGACTCATATGCATTTCAAGGATGTTCATCAGTCACAACTCTCTTGCTACCAAATGGATTACAAAATATTAGTATATACGCGTTTTCACGGCTTAAAATTTCATCGGTAGTAATTCCATCTAGTGTAACGTATATTGCTGAGCGAGGATTTTCTGATTCATCAACTTTGACATCGGTCACTTTTGAAGAGGGATCTAAGCTTGCAACTTTGGAATCACATGTGTTCATGTCAACAAGCCTAACTAAGATAACTATTCCAGAATCCGTTACAAAAATTTCCGGCCCATTTTTTAATAATATTTTAACATTAAAGAATATTTACGTTCATTCAAACAATCATATCTTTAAAACAGATGGATCTGCAATTTATTCACCAGATTATACAAAAATCCATGCCTACGCCCCAAATGCATCAGAATCTTATGAAATCAATTCAAAAGTTGTTCATATTACAGCAGGAGCTTTTACCTCTGCCCAATTCACGTCAGTTACAATACCGCCAACAGTCAAATATATTTATAATTATGCTTTTCAATATACGACAAACTTAAAACAGATAACTTTGCCTCCAAATTTGACAGCAATTTCAATCAATTGTTTCTATGGCTCTGGTTTGACATCAATAGAAATTCCAAGCCAAGTAACAACAATAAGCACTGGAGCCTTTGCTAACTGTTACTCTTTAACAAAAGTTGTTTTACCTGAGAGTATTAAAACAATTGAAGGAAATGCCTTTCCTCTTAATATTAACATTGTTTTAAGTAGTTCTTCTTCTCTTTATTTGGATAACCAAATGTTGTTGATACAATCTGATAACACTTCTATTATTATGTGCTTCAATTCTGCTGCAACTTCAATTACGATTCCTTCCAGAGTTAAAACAATAAAGAACTCTGCTTTCAAACAGAAAAACAAACTAAAAACAATTGTTTGCGATGGAATTTCAGAACTTGAATACATAGAAAATAATGCTTTCGATGGTTGTACGAGTTTAACTACAATTCCAAGCTTTCCAATGCTTAAATCAATTGGATTTAGAGCATTCTATCAAACAAAACTTAATTCTAACATGATTATATCTCAAAATGTTTCATATATTGGACCATCATCATTCGAACAATCAACAATTCCAGGAATAACAATATCTTCTCAAGTTGAAAGTTTAGGAATTTATAATTATGCCTTTAAAGATTGTCTAAGTTTGTCTCAAGTTTCATTTCAAGGTTGTTCTGCTTCTGTTACTATTGGCACGAATTGCTTTGAAAATTGCAAATCTTTGGGTTTCTTTAATGTTGTTTCTAACATCAAAGAAATCGGTTCAAGTAGTTTCATAAACTCTGGAATCAGTCATATTTCATTTGATAACAAAAGAGCATCATTTAAGATCTTAGATACAATGCTTTATAAAGATTGCATCGGATTGGAAGAAATTGATATTCCTTCAAACATTTTGACGATTGGAAATGAATGTTTCAGTGGAACATCAATAAGGAAATTATCTATTCCTGATAGTGTTGAAATATTGTCATCGAAATGCTTTAGTAACTGTATCAATTTAGAAAGAGTTGAAATAGCTTCGTAATGTAATTTGAGAGAAATATTAACAAGAGTTTTTGAAAATTGTTCCAGTTTATCTTATATAAGTAACTTTGTTAGCCAAGGTTTTGCATGCGTAAACAGCACAATATTTGATTCTTCATTTTCTAATGTATACATTCATGCTCCTGCATGCAAAGATAACTATATTAGCTTCGATCATAGACTATTAACAGTTAATGAAGGAGCTTTTATTAATTGTGTTTATGTTGAGATTGTTGTTTTTGTTGATTTGAGTGTTGTTTCTATTGGAAGAAGTGCTTTTGAATCATGCATCAGACTGAAACAGATAAGTATCCCTTCGAGCGTAGAAAGTATTGGAGAATATGCTTTCAGAAACTGCTCGAGTTTGAGATGTGGTGTTCTCTACCAGAACAAATCAGAATCATTTAGAGAAATTCTTATTTCAAGTGGACTATCTAAACTATCGCTTCGTGCTTGCGAAATCTTTAGTTGTCCAATTAAAAGATCAATCGATTTTCCTGTTTCATTATCTCAATTCACTGTTTTTATTCTCCTTTAAAATAAAAAATTCTTTGTTTGTTATTATAAGTAATAATCAGCATATTAATGTTTCTTTAGTCATGGTAAATTCTAAATTATTAGATTTCAGGTGATGAATCCATAACATTTTGATAAAACTTGCCTTTAATCCAATAATGTCTTCATTAATATAGCCTATAAATCATTAAAGATGTAGATACTTTGAAAAAAATACATTTTCAATCTAAATTTCAAATATCAAATTATGATTTCCAGAAAAATGAAAGAATATTATAAAAAATAGTATACAAACACTTTATTTTTAATAGTAGTTACTTAGAATCTTGTAGTTGGCTTTGAAGATGAGCAATTCTCTGTTTTAATTTTTCATTTTCTTGTCTTGCGTCAAGAGCTTCTTGAGGATCTACTTCTAAGTCAGGACGAGCTAAGATATTTCTCAATCTCCTGTTTTCTCCCATAACAAACTCTAATTCTACGTATGGCTGCAAATGATTGTTAGTATTTGATAAATTCCTTAGTATTTTGTTTCGTATAATGTTGTTTTGTGGGAATTCAAGTTTGGAATCTTTGTTTGTCACCCAAGAAATTGTTATTTCTTTCTTTGGAACTGTCGGCTTTTCAGAAACGCCGCTTGACTTGGAGCACAGGTTGTATATGAGCAAGATCTTAGTCTTGACATTAGATATTATGCGTAATTGATTAACAATTTTCTTTGTATCAAGATATTGATTGTAGAATACATCCCACATGCTTTCTTTCTTCTTTTTCTTTCGTATCTTCTCGATTTCTTTTGACATTTTGTCTTCTGTTTCCAAAAATTGCTTGACATTATTTGGATCTGAGAGTAAGTCTTTCAATTTGTCAATAAAAGATACTAAAATGGATGATGATTCTTCTGATAATGTGCTTGTTAAACTATTAAGTATTTCTAAAGATTGAAAAACTTCTTGCATTTGTTTTTCAATATTTAACGAAGTAGATGCAGTACGCAGATCAGCAATCTGACTTTGAAGAGGAGTTTTTGTTTTGTCTGAATAAAAATCGAGTATTTCTTTTAAATCATCTGATATTTTGTAAGATTTAAGGGTACAAAGGTCATCTATGAGCATAGAAACATCAACATCATCCAAAGTGGCTAGTAGTGTGTTTATCTCGACAATTATCTCGTTCTTATCGGCACTATTAGTCATTTTTGGAAGTTTTTTTATGAGGAACCAAAATTGTTCAAATTGTGATTTATTAGATTGTACTCATGCTATACTATAATATTTTATGGTCAAAACTGTATTTGATGAAAAATATGCTATAAAATTGTAAAATTTTGCTCTGAAATCAATCAAAACGGTGGGTACTCTTGTAGTTGATTGTATTTTCGAAGTTGTTTTAAGAAAAATTTGAGATGATTTTGGAAAATTTAGTGGGAAAAAAGTACAAAAAAATGACGTTCCTTAATGGAACATCAGCCATTGATATTGATTATACTGATATCATGGTTAAGTTACAAGAGGTTCAGGATACTTGTAGTTTAATTCCTGATCGATGCGGCCTCGGTCCTCCAAATTATAATGCTGAAAAACAGTATAATGAAGCTAATTCATTTGAAGAATTAATGACAATGGATCAAACAACATACAATCACCCCGATGATATAATTCTTGCAGCAAAAAATGCTCGACAAAGATTATACTTTGGAATATTTACCGAAATCAACCTCCAATATTGCATTATTGATAACAAATTCTACTATTGGAGAAAAGGATCTACGAATTATCATATGTTACTGTTCGATAAAATAATTACGGCCATTTTTCTCCTGAAAGAACTGCTTTTAATAGGCACAGAACACTCACTTTACATTTATAAGATAGATCTTAACCTATGTTACGATAAATCATATCAATTCTTACCAGATGAAAATGAAATACCCGAGCCACCAAAATACTATAGCAAAAACATCGGATTTTACATATCTGCTCTTACTGCATCATCACTTGATACCATTTTCGCAGGTTCAGACAACGGATCAGTTTATTCAATTATTATTGATGATCTTGGCATTTATTCACGAATATTTACAACAAATCCGATACCTGATTGTATTTTAGAGTTCACTTTGTCACTTTTTCCAAAATTTTTACAAATAAATTATCCAATTTCGAAAATTGTTTATGATGAAACTACGAAACTGTTAGCATCAGTAGATACGGCCTCGAACATCAGATTCTTTTATGTCAAAGGCCAAAAAAACGCAATAGAATTTTTTGATTTGTATTCAATCAAAAAAGAAAAGATAATTTCAATAGTTCCTGTTCCACAATCAGATTCGAAAGTCATCAGGTTCATTGTCTTCTTTGAATCAGGAAAAAGAAACTACATTGGAGAGATATTTAATCCGATTTCGAAAAAAAAATCAATGGAAATTGTTCAAAGTCGTCCTCCGCCACCAAATTTCAGAGGTCCTGCAATAGAAGCTGTTTCGCAACTCGGAAGAACAGTTATTCTCACTAAATCAAAGATATATATCATTAAATCCGAGGTTGATCTCCAAAATCCATCAAAAATATGCGAAACATGTTATTGTGAATTTATTCCTTATACAGGATTATCTATTTCCACGAAAATTCACAGTGTCAGGACAATTTTAACTGATACTTTTAGACATAGTTCATTTTGGCAGAATATACATGATCCGTGGGCTATAAATGTTGTTACGAGTAGTCTTTTGTTCACTGTTAAGTTTAAGTCTGCTTCTGATGATTTATATGATTTGTTGGTGCAAAATAATGGAAATTTCACCGACCAATTATCAAAATATTTCTTTGAACATAAATATTTTTGTGAAGCTGGTCTAACAGCTGTTCATCTGGCAACAATATACGGCTGGGATATCCAGAAAATGGTTCTCTTCACTTTGGCTCAGGTGGCAAAAAATTCTTTACAAAAAATTGACATTTTGCCAAAAAGTGACGTGTTTTCGAAAAGTGACAATTTCGCAAATTTCTTTAATTCTTATAATTCTTATGATTTTGAAAATTTTGACAATTTTTCAATACGTGACAGTTTACAAAATGTCACTTTTAAGAATTTGACATTTGCATCTAATTGTTTTTTGTATCAGTTGGGATGTTACATGGCAATTCCATGGAGTTATCCTGTTTTCGAATGGAAAGATATAAATAATGGATACGAAATAACAAAAGAACTTAAAGTAAATGATTATTACAAAGCTAACTTCAAAAAATCAATTTACCATATGCAGACAATGTCAGATTTGATGACAAGATTTGTTTATTTGTTGAGACAAGTCTGCAACGAAGAAGAACTCATTTTGTTGAATTCTGATTTGATTTTTTTGCAAAAATTTACAGAATTTTGCAAATTTTTCGGTGAAACTTTTACTTTGTTATCAATCATTTCAGAACAAAAAAGAGATACTCTCAAACAAATATTAGAACAAATAGAAGATAAATCAATTCGCGATAGATTAACAAAATTTCCATTTTGTAGTTTATCGTCTGGCAAAACCGTTTTTGAATGTTTGAGAGAATTTTGTTGGAAAATGATAATGAAAAATCCAAGACTTGGAAACAGATTTATAAGAGAAACTCCGAATTATTTCTCTGTTGAAGATTTTAAGGTTTTGATGTCAATTTCGGAATTGTTGACAATAAAAGATGAAAATGATGGAAAAATCGAAAGAATCGTTCAAAATATTCTCCAAAATATCAATAGGAAATTCGATTTGAAACATGTTTTCAATAATTTAATGAGATTGAATAAATTCAATGAAGCGGTTACGGTTATTTTACAAAAAGTGATGGTTGTTGACATTGACAAAGTTGCATTAAAATGGTATAAAAATGGATGTAACAAATATGATGAAAATGGTCGATCTATGTTTGATAAAGTTTATTTTTGTTATAATTTAGTTTTGCAAAAAGTTGATGAAAATAACCTTAAACAGGTTTTATCGTTCGATGATGAATTATTCCATTATTGTCTCTACAAAAAATTGATGTCGGATCAAACTATGTTCACTTCACTTTTGATGATTTCTACTCCATTTCTTTTGAATTTCTTGAAAACGCAAAATTTGAAAAAAGAAATTTGGAAATTTTATTTCAACAGAAAAGAAATTCCAGAATCAGTCTCAGAACTTCTTAATTTATTGAGTTCTAATGTTCTAACTCTTACAGAAAGAGAAGAATTAATTGAAAAAGGTCTTTTAATTTGCCAAAGTTTTAATTTGACAAATTATTTGAATGAGTTTGAAAAATTGAATTTGATTGAAAAAGTGACGAAAATTTATCGTCAACGGACACGTTTTATTATTCAAGAAAGAAATATGCAGCATATACTTGAATTAGTAACGAAAAGGAAGTTTTGGGACTTGTGTTTAATGTTGATTAATGATTATCCTGTTGAAAACAAAAACAAGGTTTTAAGTCAAGTTTGGACGAATTTTTTGATAGAAAAAAAATTGCCGCAAACAGAAATCGAAACGAAAGTTGTCGAGTTTTGCAAGGATTTAGGTACAAAAGGAGATATATTCAATGTTGAAATTGTTTTACCTGTTTTTGAAGAATATAAAATGAATAGAAAATTTGATGTTTTGTGGGCTACAAATTTGATGATAGAAAGTGGTTTTGACAGTAAGGAAATGTTCAAAATTTATATGAAACTGCTTGAGAACAGAAACATTTCTATGCAGATAAGATCTAATTTCACTTATTCTGCATTAAAAGTTGCAAAAATAACGAAAATTTCAACAGAAAATGATAAAAATAAGTTGAGAAAGTACTTATCAGAATCTACAACAACAGCACCTTATTATAATGATTGTTTAAATATACTAAATTGTTTGTAATATTATTTGTATTAATTGAACTTAGTTTTTAGCAAAAATTTAATTGAGTATAAAATAAACTAGAATTAAGCCATTTTTTATTCTGCATTTTGAATGATATTCTATGTATGAGAATAGAGAGTATAAAATATAGAATTTGAATCTATTTTTCAAAATTCAAACTAAAATTAACTGGGATATAAGTTACGACCAATTGCTGTATATTCCTATAGATAGTCATAATACCAAATATGCGGAGATATAATGCCGAATTAGCAATTTTATACAACGGAGAAATTATTGGAAAAATTATATTTTAAAAGCCTGAAATATGTGTGAGATATTTGCATCTTGTGTGTGATATTAATCTTCACAAATAAAATTTATCAAATAATTTATGCTGAGAATTTCAGAAAAGATTTTTCCTTGGATTTTTTTTAGAATTTTATGAGATGAAATCCACCCAAGAACTATACGATCTTGGCTTAACTCTTCAATGGATATATTTTTAACTTAATATGTAGCCAATAACATTTAAAAACTATAAAAATAATCTTCACAAATTTTCGTCCATTTTCAATGCGCTCTCAAAAATTTTATTGAAAAAATGAGTCATAATTTCAAACCATCTGCATTCTATACTATTAATATGTTTTCAATTTTTCAAATTCTGAAAATAAACAGAAAAGTTTTGGTAATTTGGAATTATGCTTTTTCAACAGGTTTTCAGTGTGTATCGCTATAATCTTCCATCATGTATATGGAAAACAATCAATAGCTACAAATCATTCTCAATTGGAAGCAATGTTCAAAAATTTCATTCAGGCTATTATGAAATCACTGGTTTTCCTGAAGACTATATACTCGACAATGAAACCGGAAATGTATTTAAAAATGAAAAATACTATTATTGCTATGGAGTCAATTTTGAAAATTCCCAAAACACTGTAATCAGTATTACAGGTGATGATATCAACGCGAGCATATTAATTGAAGAATGTATGTTTAATTCTATATCAAGTACTGAAAATGGTGGTGCCATAAGATTTGAATGCCTCGGCCAAATTCATCAAAATAGAGTGTGTTCTATTAAATGCTCCTCAAGGTTAGGCAATCATGCATATATTATTTCATCTTCAGGAAATGCAAAACACTCAATTTTCGAAACTACTATATCTGAAACTTTTAATACTAATCCATCCAATAGTTTATGGATGCAAAATGATATTAATATAAAAACAACAAACTTCTCCAAGCTGATTATGCCTAAATATTCAGCATTTATATTGAATAATTTCACTAGGGCAAAGGTACAATTTTGCACAATTGCGAATAATGTGGCTAGTAGTTCTGTTCAGACCTCTGTCATTATTTATTGTAGTGATTACAATGGAGTAGATCTTGAAGTTGAATTTACTAATATAATTGGAAATATATATGAAGAATATGGTGCAAGATTACAATGTAATGCAATATTTACCAGATGCGCAATTTATTCCAATACAGCAAGAGTTGGTAAAGAATCTGGTTTTTTTAGGTCTGAGACTGAAGGGAAAACAATAAAAATAGAAAATTCATACTATGATGGCTTTGTTGAAAATAATTATACAATTTTGGATCCCGAAAATAATAAAATTGTAAATTTAATCAACTTCTTGAACCTAGGTGCAAGGCTAAAAAAATTCACGACATTTACGATAAGAATTGTGCCCCACTTGATGAAGAAAAGGGTAAGGAGCAATTGCTAACCTATATTCTTTTATTTCTTTTGTAACCAAGTGTTATTTGCAATACTCAATGTTATTATATTTATATCTCTATGTAAATTTGATTTATATAAACAAATTAATTTAAAAGAATCATTCCGAAAGAAAAACTTATAAAAGATGATTAGAAGGGGTGAGGAAGTAAGTTAATTTTTAATTCATCATTGCGGATCAGATCGATTTTGAGATTTTTTTTAATTATGATTCCGTTTCATTATTGAAATTGAAAAGATTTTTATGTGAAATGCGGGTAAATTTTTGAATAACCATAAATTCGATTTTATTTGGTATATTTAAAGTGTTAGGATATTTAACGCTATTGGTTACATCAGTTGAAGAAAATTGAAAGATATTGATTTTGCTCATTCAATTTTGATAAGTTTGTTTACAAATCAAATATGCAATGAATTTGATCAAGTCATTCTGATGTAATGTAAACAAATTAATGAATTTATTTTCCAAAACGATGGTGAATTCCTATCAATTTTTGAAAAATTAAATACGTTTAATGAATATTAATTTAAATATCGATAATTTATTGAACGCATGTAAATAGGCACTTGAAATTTGACAGTGATAGTTGATGATTTCGTATTGATTATCTCTTAATTACTGATTTTATAGAGTGGAATGAAAATAGTATCTTTTTGTGAAACTATACAAAATTGAATAAACGATAAAAAAATCCATTTCAATGTCTGAAAATCCAGAAGTGTCACAAGTTGACGATAATGTTGCTAATGATGGAAATCCAATTGAATTACCAGATAGCAATGTCGATATTGAATCACAGAAGGAAGCAATCCCTCAAAAAACCAAAAAATATAAAAGGAGAAAACAATATTTTACTTTTCTCAAGAAATTATTCCTCCCTCTTGTCGCAGTTGGATTGGCCACAGGTGTATGTTGCGGTGGTATCATAGGAACATATCAATTTCTTGCAGAGTTACTCGTCGATAAATCTAAATACCTCTTTTCTCTTGTCCGTAAAGATTTACGATGGTTACCACTTGCATTTTTCATTGATATATTAATCGGTTTGGGTATTGGATTAGCATTGGAGTGGTTCAGCGAAATTCGAGGAAGTGGAATCCCTTACATCGAGAGTGTCGCTCGTGGAAACCTTGGTCTCACATGGTACATTTCCTTACCAGCTATGTTTGTGGTCAGTTTATCCAGCCTCTTCTCAGGTCTTTCATTAGGATCTGAAGGTCCATCAGTATATCTAGGTGGTTGCATCGGATACGGATTCGCCAAGCTTATTAAGATGAATCATATTCACGATATGCTGTTAGTTGCAGCTGGTTCTTCAGCAGGTCTGGCAGTCGCATTTGATGCTCCTCTATCTGGATTGATTTTCGCTTTAGAAGAAGTATACCGAAAATTCTCAACACAAATTATCCTCGTTTCCGTTATATGCGTATCAGTTTCACAAATTATTACACATCTAATTTTCCATCCAAGAATCATGCTTATTAACGATATCGCAAATGAAAAATTCAACATAATTACATTCTTAGTTGCCATCTTTTGTGGCTTGTCAGGCGGATTTATGGGTGCGTTATTTAATTTAGGTATTAGAAGAGCAAGAAACTTATACAAGTATGCGAAATTCCTTCCAATGAAGTTTTACGTTATAATTCCAGAAGTACTAGCCGTCGTTCTCTGTACATTTTTCCCAGATGCAGGTTTCGGAGGCGCTACTGTTCTAAAGAAAGTACTGAATAACGAATTGAAAGTATGGGAAATCGCTACATGTTTCGCTATTAGATTCATTTCCATCCTTATTTGCTTCGGATCTAAAGCATCAGGAGGAATCTTTATTCCTATGCTTTCAATCGGAGGTTTGTGGGGTGGATTGGTTGCAAAACTAATGGTTCTTGCCGGTTACGATTCAACTAGATATACTTACATGGTTTTAATGGTAATGTCTTCATTTTTCACAGGAGTCGTCAGAGCACCACTAACTGCAGTGATTTTACCAGTTGAATTCACAATGCAGTTTTGTGGCTGGCTTGGACCAACAACAGCTGTTGCTTGGGCTTACATTATTGCAGAAGTAATGAGAATTGAGCCATTATACGAAAAACTTATGGAAGCTCTTGTCGAAAAGAGAGATGAAGATGAGCTGCAAGATTTCGAAGAATTCTCCTTCTTAGTTACACTTGAATCAATGGTTTGTGGTTTGACAGTCAGAGAAGTCATTCTTCCTGAAGGAACCCTCATAACTCATATATTAAGAGATAAGACACCTATTTTCCCTACTGAAAACACTCAAATCATTGACGGAGATGAAGTATTCTTCAAATGCTCATCAGAAGAAATAGAATCTGCTGAAGAACAAATGTCAAAGTTATTCTAACTTTGTTATAATCATCTATAACTATATATTGTTTTAAAAATAATGTAATATTTCATTTCTGATTTTCTCTTTATATATATGAAATATTTTGAAGCACAGTTCTCTTAGTATCAACATGTAAATTGCATATTTTTCATCATTCGGGAACCTGGCAATTTAATTTTTAAATGCAGATTATTCAAAGCTAAAATTCATTATGAAAAATTCAAAGTCACACATATATTAGAGTTAAGAGTAGACTTCATTATTCCTAAAGAAATAATCCATATTGCGAGTATTTACCAGAGAAAATTGTTACAAATTAACTTCAAACATCCGAAGTTATTATCCTTCTTGAAATTTTATTAAATAGGATGTATAGAAGCTTTACAGTAACGCCATTATCATCATGTTGGATCAAACTCCTCACAATTTTTTTAGGATTTACATTTATAAACTATTCAATATTCAATCAATGAAATGAAATCCGAATTGCTGTGTGTTTATTTATCGGATTCAATTTTGTTCATGAAATAACTTTTGTGATCTGAATTTCCTATCCGAAATCTTGAGTGATCTTGATAAGCAATGCCGAGCATTCAAGATTTCATTGATTTGGAAATTTATACGGCCATTTATCTTTTGAAAAAAAAATAAGAAGTCATCTCAAATATGATTATACAGGAATGATTGTAAATCAACAACAAGCAAGCGCGACTTTAAAGGTTATTTTAGCTGGTCCGCATAATGCTGGGAAGACAATGTTCCTCTGGAGATGGAGTTCAAAATCTGGCGAATTTAATGCAGGACCAACCATAGGAGCTGATTTTGCATGCAGAGATGTGATACGAGGAAAGAAAAAATACAAGATACACCTTTGGGACACTGCTGGACAAGAAGCGTATCATAGTATTACCGCCCCATATTTCAGATCTTGTTCAGCAGTATTATTAATGTTTGACCTAACAGATAGAACTAGTTTTGAAAGTCTAGACTATTGGCTTAATAATATTAATAATAATGCAATTACCTCGCCAATTATATATCTAATCGGAAATAAATTAGATGATCCAAATCAAGCTGTAGGTGATTACGAAATAATACAATATGCTCGTGTTCATGGCCTGAAACCATTTAAAGCTTCAGCAAAAAATGATATAAATATCGAACAAATACATAATGATATGGTTGATTCGATTATAGCTGCTAATTCTTTAACTCCAGTTCAATATGTTTCACTTTCTAATCCTAAAAAGAAGTCAGATAATGGAGATTGTTGTTAATTCTACTAAAATAAAACTTTCTTTCTTAAATATGCTTTACAAATGCCATTTTATACCTTGTGTTCACTTAACCATAGACATTTTATCTATATTAATTCAAAATGCTGAAATCACGTTTAATTTAGAGTACAATGATATTTTAAACTGAAGTAGTTAAGTGTATTATTGCAAGTACCTAAATGTTGGAGGAACATAGAAGCAATAAAATTTAATGAAAAATAATCTTTGGTATATGCTCATTCCTAGATCAAAAAATGATTCACATATGGTACATAAGTATCTGGAGATAGCTAAAAGCATCCAATATTTATGCTCGAAAAAATTGTAAAATAAACGTACAATTATTCAAGAATGAAGAAATCAGGGAAAAAAACTAGTTCAGTAAACGATTCACAAAGAGGCGTTATGGATCGTCTTGAAGGAATGGTAGGTCGTAGTATGGCAAAAAAAGGCATATATTCAACAACATCTCCATATTCAAAACAACCAACAGATACTGAAGCATTACTTGATATGCTTGATAAGCGCGTTGGTAAATTACTTATAAAATCTAGTGAAATAGAAAGTAAATTAGATGCAATAGAAGGAATTCAGAGAAAAACGTATAATCCGAGACCTGTTACGAAAACATCAGGATCAAAGAAGCAATCAGAAGTATCGGTTACTTCTGAAACCAGTAAAAAATCTACAAAGCAATCAAAAATTCAGCTTAAACCTCGATTTAGATCAACTGATAGTTCATCAGAAAAAAGTCATGCGGATTTCGATTTCCAAGCTTTATTTGATTTGGTACAAAATCTTGCCACAGAAGTTCATGAGATGAGAAAAGAACAGACACAAATGCATGATCAAATTAACATGATTCAGGATGCATTATTTAGATCTGCTGAAGAAGAAGAGAATGTTGAGTAAATATTTATTTTTTTGTGCTTATTATCAATTTGGTAAATTTATGGATTATTTTGTTGATTTAGTTATTTTAATAAATGCATTATTGGAGTTTCAAGATGAAAATTCTTAGCTGTTGCATGTCTTATTGTTATCACAATTGATGAAATTAAGCAATCAAAGCTTATATTAGGCTAATTGATGATGTATTCGTTTAGCTTGCTTGTTACATTCAGAGTACACTAAATGATATGATCCAAATAAAATGAAATTTCAGGAAATTTTGAATGATTCAAACAATAATATGATTTTAACGACACATAGTTTCGCACAAATATCTGCGAAGAAGAATAGATAATATGACAATTCCTATTCTCAATTTTCCTCATTGAAAAAAAAAATCCATGTTATGAGGCCTTTGGATTTCTATCGTCGATCCTAAAAATTTTAAAAAGATCATATGGGTGCAAACTCAAGCCTTTCGAGTATTTACCCCAAATATATATTGGGAGATGCAGATGAAAGTATTATTGCTCTTGCTTGCAACGATACTTCAGTTCTCGTATTAAAATCAGATAAAACTGTTTCTATTCTCGGCTATGAAGGCCAAACATTTACAAGAAAGCTAAACATGCAGCCTACGTCATGCTGTGCAACATCTACTGGTGGATGGGTAATAGGTTTCAAGACTGGACAAATATCAGAATTTGATTCGAATTTTTCATTAATGTTATCATATCATGCAGTCGGAGATGCTCGTGCACATAGCACTGAAGTAACTCACGTTCATCAAAATGCAGATTCTGACTCTTCAAGCTGCTATTTAATTAGTATCAGCGAAGATGGCGTTTGCAATCTTTGGGGAAAGAGAGGTCAACACTTATACCAATTCACATCGAAAGCAGGACTTACTACCATCGAATCTTCTCAATTTTTCGCTTTTCTTGGCGATAAAAATTCGAAATTATATACAATTTCTACATCATCATACCAAACATCTACATATCAATTACCATCGCCTGTGCGTTCATTGTATCCCCTTGGAGAAGGATACGGATGCCTTGCAACACTTCAAAATGGAAAAGTTGCAGTTTTATCATCAACTCATGTTGTCGAAACGTTTAATATGGAGAGAAAGTTTGTTCGTGTTGTGCCATTAGCAATTGAAGAAGGAACAGGTTTAATATCTTATCTTGCTGTTGATGAAGAAGGCAAATTAGTACTTTGCGTGTTGAATTCTATTATTGGCGAGATTGGCGATCAGGCCTCGCATGTTGCATACAATACTTTTAACTTGGTTACGATATGGAATGGAAAATTAGCAGTTTTTGATAGAGACAACTTAGTAGTTGCTTCTTTACAGTCCATGCCAGATGTGGAACTCCCAAGAACTGGCATAGCAGAAATGCTTATGGGACAAATGTAATAAATTGTATATATTTTTTCTTTTTCTATCTATACTATAAAGTAAAAACTCAAAATTTGTATTTTTCAATGAACAATGGTCTTTAAAAATGCTGTAATATCTTGATTTCAATTTTTCACGATATAAACTAGAAAATCAAAGTTAAATTACTTATTTTCTCAAGCCAAACAATCAAGTCGATATGTTTTTATGTGTTATTCGTCTTAAAATAATCTTAAATATCTTGAGACCAAATTTTCAGGACAACAACTAGAAAATCAAAGTTAAATTACATATTTTTTCAAGCTAAGCAACTAAATTCATATGTTTTTAGGTGTTATTGATCTTAAAAATATTGGAAATATCTTGATATTAAATTTTGTATGGATATAAATGCAGTATTTAAGAAAAGGTAGTGATAAAGGATAGAGTGGAGAGTGGAGAGATAAAATAAAGCAAAATTAAGTTAATAAAATTTGAAATTTTTTTAATTTTTTTCTAAGTAGAGGAAAAAAGTATTACATTTATTATATTACAAACTTATCTTCTGAATGATAGACCGCAATCTAAGCATTCGCAAAAGTTTGTCATAGGTTCATCGCCACCACGAGTTTGGACAGCCACGTGTGTTGTATTATTGCCCTTGCATCTTGGGCACTGGAAAAGTCCAGATGGAATTCTTCTTGGCTGAGGAACAGAAATCTTATTCATAGCGTTCTGAAAAGCTTCGGCTGCTGCGGCCTTTTCTTCCTCTGTCATGAATTGTTCCTTTGGAGCGTTAACAAAATCTTTGGCTGTTAAAGCGCCGGATTTTAATTTCTCAATAATCTTGAACTGTTTGTCCTTATTGTCGATTGTTTGGAGAAGGTAGATGATGTATTCATCGTAATCGTTGCCGACTTTAGTTGCGTTTACTTCATCCTCGATCTTATTTGAAATTTCAATGGCTGTTTCTTCTGCGAGGCCATGTGCCTTAAGAACATTTCTTATGATGCGACGCTTTTGTGAGCGCTTGTCTGGATCTTCTGTTGAGCTTGATCGAGCGATTTCATTCTTTTTAGCTGCTGGTTTAGCGCTTCCTGAATATTTTTCGAGCAATGCTGTAGCCTTATCAATAATCGTTTGGTTTTTAGAGTTTTCTTTTATCTTATTGAGTGAAATTGACAAAAGTTTAAACTTTTTCTCGTCAGTATAAGTGCCATCTATGAGAGAATCCAAAGCGGAAATTAAGTTTGATGCATTATCATCTGGTTTCGCCTTTGATTGCATGAGAACTTTTGTTAACGATGATAATTCTTCAGCAGAACTCATATTTTGTTTGACTAAATGGCGGGACAGTAAAAAGTGACAAAAAAATTTTCCAAATAAACTTGTGTTTTTTCATTGCTGTTGTTTTTGGTACTTGTTACTGTAACAAAAATAATAGAAATTTACAGAAAAATACTTAATCGATCATATTTGAAATCCGAAAAATAAGTTACAATTAAATTGTTTCCATTTTAAGCGTGTATGTCCTTCCATTAGGCATATCATAGAAGAACATATAACATATTTTACTGATTTTAAAATAATAAATAATTAATTAACAATAGTTAAGTGTTTACTTACAATTGTGTGTAATATTTTAATTTAGTTTAGTTAGCCTTTGGAGCTTCTGGTTTCTGGTCTGTTGCAGCTGCGGCTGGGGCTGCGGCTTGAGCAGCTTGCTTGCCCTTCTGGTTCTGATGGGCGTTCTGCTTACCATGTGCTGCTTGTCTCTTGTTACTCATTATAAAGAAATGATGTGATTACTTTAATATGAGGGAGATGTCAAAAAAATTACACAGCGGCGATTTTTCTGAATTATTCGATTTTTTCAATGTGAACAACTCTCAATTTGAATTTTCGTTGAAATCAAAGGTACGGATATTCGTAAATGTTAATATCACAGCATTATGTAATTTGTTCACAAGATATTCGTGATTTTAAATCAAAATTATAATATCTGTTATCACAATATCATCTATTTTCATATTCATATGAAATTTATATTAGCAAATTTTTGATAAGTATTTTAAAAATTTTTATAGCGTTTATTTATTAAGTAATCAGATCATTTCTTGATAATGAGTAACAAGAGACAAGCAGCACATGGTAAGCAGAACGCCCATCAGAACCAGAAGGGCAAGCAAGCTGCTCAAGCCGCAGCCCCAGCCGCAGCTGCAACAGACCAGAAACCAGAAGCTCCAAAGGCTAACTAAACTAAATTAAAATATTACACATAATTGTAAGTAAACAATTAATTTAATATTACTTAAATTAGTCTATTTTTATTAATTCTGGAATTATAATGAATTGTCTTTAATTTTTCAAAATAAGTATTATCTTCCATCTATCTTAGGATTATGAGCTCTTCACAATCATAAATAATGTGATTCCAACCACAATTCAATGGAGTTTTGATTCATTTTGATTCTAGTTTTTCAAATTTGAAATGTATTGTGAAATTAATTGAAGATGTTGTCATAATGATACGCAATCAGTGAATTAAGTCTAAATATTTGCATAAATATATCAAATAATCTATTATTGCCATATGATTTGTTGATAAGTTAACTTAAAAAGATAATGTTTATTTAAACTTTTGCTTCCTCGTCATCATTTTTATTTGATGACGAAGATTTCTCTTTGTTTTGCTTTTTCCTATAAACGAAAAACCCAACTAATGCAGCTATAGTTATAATAGCTACAATTGCAATAGCAATTCCAGCGATTGCTCCACCTCCCAGTTTAGAGTTATTCTCTTTCAAGTCATTTGGAGATTCGGGGGTTCTTGTCGGTTCTTTTGGAGTTTGATTATCATCACTTTTCTTTTCAGGAGGTTGGCCATTTGAATTTTGAGTTGTTAATGTGTATTGATATGCTTCTTCTTTTGTTTGAACAGTTGAATATTGGGTTAGGTTGTATTCCTTATCATCCTTAAAGTAACTAACTTTATCATCTTCACCTTCTGCTGCTTCTGGAACTGGTTCTACATCTAACGTATAATTTCCATCTAAATATGCGTGTGAAGTGACACGAGTATGGGCACCTTCGGCAGGTGGGTCATCTAAATTAAAAATATCATTAATTAATTTTCTTGGATCAAGTGGAAGAATTAATTCATTTGCAGGAAATGTTTTTGAACCAACTTCTGCTAAATCAGCGAAAGTAGGAAACGTATATTTATCCCTTTCTGATTTTGTTAATGTAATTCTCTTTCTTGAATTGCCAATGAGATAAAATGATTCCATATTCACCTTTAAGTTCCCATTTGATCTATCAGCATCTTTTGTACTTGTAAACTCCATCGAATATCTAACTTCTTTATTGAATTTTTTCATTGTGGAAAATACCGAATGGTGATGTAGATCAATATTAAGATTTAATGGGGTATTCACGAATCGTATAGTTGTTTTACCTTCAACATGAGGTAGAATTGGAAGAATTTGGACGTTACATGTGCTCTCTGGATTTGAACATTTAACTTTGGAAAGAGGTAAATAATACTCTTTTATTGGTGTTGTATGACTAATAATAAAAGGATTATTAAACGTTTGCTCTTCACCGTATTTACCAGTTTTATCAGGAAATCTTGTTGTAACTTGATAATCCGATAGACCAGCTATAAGATATGTTCCAATATAACATAATTTTCCTCCTTTTTCAATTTGTACTTTAAAAGATCCTGAAACCCTTTGAGATAGATCAATAAAGTCTTGATATATGCATTCAGAGAGATCTGTTGTCAAAGATTCAATGCATATGGTACTTAGTAACGAGAGCATGAATAAAATATATGGAACGGTTTAATTCAATTAATGAAATATCGATGTCATCAAAATTAAAAATGTATAAAGATCATAAAAGGCTTTTTGAATATTGTTGTGTGGCATATTTAAATTGAACGTATGTGTCAAATCCGAGTATTTTAAATGATTCTTATGCCCTAAATCTAATATATGCTATGACATTACAATTAAATTGAATTGGGAAAAAATAGGAATTCAAAAAAAGATTATTTGTTTATTAGATCCACTCGGTCAATACTAACAGTATTGATAATATCATAAGGAATAATGAGGAATACTCTTAATTTTAATATATATATGGTTTTCAACGAATTATATTTAATTTTTGTTCTGCAATTTCTTAATTTTAAAAAAATATTGGTAGTTTTCTGAATGATGAAAAATTAGATTAGAATGAAGAAATTAAGAGATATATGCATCAAAATATATATGTTGATTTTTAATATTTAAAACAAAAAAAATCTTAATGATTCAGCAGTTCCATTTATACACTTATATTGAATTTTGACAAAACATAAGCATATAAACATTAAGAAGATCCCATATAGGCATTTTGATGAAAAGTGTTTTCAAGTGATATAGATTATATGGTGTTTTATAGAGTTTGAGAGTAGTAGGATAGGATGGGTTGTGTGACTTTTTTTGTTACATCTATATATAGACGATGCATTAAAATATATTTATAAACCATTAAAAAAATTAAAGTTATTTTTTTATTCTTACATAAATGACCCAACAAGTAAAACCAGATAAAATAGATTATCGAATTTTAGAGGATGGTGTTCCTGTTTATATTCAAAGATTTAAAGGGAAGCAATATTATAGAATTGTTAATCCTGAATACATAAAACATTTATTTAAAAAGGAAGACTGTGAATTATTAAACGTTAATGAATATGAAACCAATAAATCAAAATTGAAATATAAATATATTGGAAGTGATGAAAGATGCAAAGATAAAGATAAAGTTTATACAGTTTCATATAATGAATGGAAAACCAATAAGATAAGAAAACATTTAGGAGATTATGGTAAAAGTTCTGAATTCTTTAAATCTAGTATGTACGAGAGAGTAAAAGAAATTAGAAATAATTATTTTCATGAATAAAATAAACTTTAAAAATTCATGTCTTACATTTTTGAATAATTTATTTTTTTAATTCGTAAGAAAGCGCGACATTATTAAATAAATTAGTAATAAATATTTATATACTAAACACATTAAAAAAATTAACATTAATTTTAAAATAATTTATTTTTTATCTTTTATAAAAGAAGCTATATATAGATGATGTCAGATATTCCGCGATTAATTAAACATTGTTTAAATCCTGAATGGGTTAAACTTCAATTTAAAAATGAAGACTGTGAATTATTAAATGAATATGAAAGCCAAAATAAGCTAATGAGGTATAAATATAATGATAAAGAATATTTAATTTCATGGAATCAATGGAGTCATAAACTTTAAAAAGAATTTGATGAGTTCAACATAGAACTTTAAGAAACTAATGATTATTTGAATTTATGAAATCAATTATTTGATTCATTCTTTCTTCAATCTCTTCTATTCTTTTTGTTAAATCATCAATTTTCATTAATGAGGTGATTCTTGATTGAAGAATAGATTTCAAACTAACCACCCCCTTTATTTTTGAAATTTTGAATCCATCAACTTTAAACATTTTATTCAATTTACACGTTGTCAATTCTTCAAATAATTTTTTATTGTTAGCATAATAGTCATTAAATTCTTCAACAGATGAAAAAATTTTTATTTCAGTAATTGGTTTAACAACGTTTATTTTTTGTTGAACATTTTCACTTTCATTTATTTCTTCCTCCTCTGTTTCATTTATTTTTAAAATCGGTTTCATTTATCATTAAATAAAAATTAGAATATAAGTGATGAAATACATTTTTTAATTAATATTAAATCAGAAATGGCGGCAGGATTCTTTAAAAAATTATGGGATGGAATTAAGAAAGCTGCGGGTTGGGTTATAAAAAGGTTATTAAACCCGTTGCAAACTTTTTGGCACCAGTAGCGAAAACGGCAGGAACTATCATAGGTGGAGTATTAGGTACTAAAGCAGGTAATCCGGCGATGGGAGCACAAGCAGGTAACGCAGTTGGTGGAATTGCTGAAGGAATACTTAATAAAATAGGAGGTAGATAGTGGAAAAATAAATTATTTTTATCTTAGTATCGGTTGAAGTCTTTGATAAACTTTTTCTCCTTTATTTAATATTTCTCTTATTGGGGCAGCTTTTGGTGTTATTGATTCAGCAACGTCACTAATTGCTTCTTTATTCTTAAATATCCAATTTGCTCCTTTCTTCATTGTTTCCCAAACTTTATGCGCTCCTCTTTTTACTTTATCCCACAGTTTCTTAAATATACCTGCAGCCATAGTTGATTATTTCATTAAAATTAAAAATTCATTTTCATCTTTTAATTTTGATTTTTTATTTATTAATAAATGACGACTAACTATTTGGTGCCAAACACTAAACCGATTAATGGAAATGTGTTTCATTCATTCGAAAAGATAAATGAAATATTCGCAAAGAATGATGGTAGAAGATATTATAGAGAACTTGAAAGTTCATGCTATGACTCTGATGCTCCATATTTTGATGATAAACAAACTCATTTAAGAATTACAAATCCGGCTCATGATGTGAACCAATTAGGTGACACATATATTAAACGCAAAGTTAAAGCAACTCTAGTTTCAAATAAAGCTTTCACATGTGATGCCGCTTTTAAATGCATGCGTTTATTCGTTGGTTACAAATCATCAAATCAAAGCTTTAAACAATTAGAAGTAGAAACCGAAAGAGGTGATGCCGGTTATCTTCAAATGGATTGCGCCCGTGAATCTTTCGCATTTGCAACATATAAACCAAAATCAGAAAGGAAAGTTAAAAAGTTTGTTCATTCGTTATATAATAATGTTCAAAAATATGATAACTCAGTATGTGGTAAATATATTGACCCTTCAGAAGTTTTCAAGAAGCAAATGAAGAAGTTGATGTCACTTTTGATATGATTATTCCGGTAAATGATTTGTTAGCATTTCAGGCGTTCGATGATTATCCTAAATCATTTGGTGAAATCATTCTTAAATATTATGTTTTCAGGGATACTTTAGTATTTTGTCAGGTTGCCCCGTTAAGAGTTGCTGATTTACAAAATTACGTTTATGAAAAGATAACTGATGAAAATTATGAAAAGATTATGAATCATGTTTATAAATATGATCGCAAATTCCAACAAATCGGACTTCCTGCCAAATTAATTACAAGCTTAGCCGCTACATCTGCTGACGCAACAGTTGATGACGTTATTATTTCATGCACAAAGATGGAAGTTTTAGAGGATAAATGCATTACACCAGGATACGGTTTAATTGAAGAATCAGTTAAAGCAATACCACGTTTATTCAGTAAGGAAGATCCATTCATGATTCCAGCTCAACATATTGACGTTCGTTCACTAAATGGAGGTTGCATCACTCCTGAAGGTATTAGCTCAGATTTCTCATACGCTCTTCATAATGTTACAGATGTTGTGTTAACATTTCCGAAGAATGCAATGCAAAGAACGGTTTTAGAAAATCCAATGCTTCGAGGTCTTCAGGTCACTATAGATTCCAGAAACTTCCCCGATCAAGCGATGACCACAGTGGGTGACATATTCTTTACACGTATGCTTCAAGCTTCTGATTTAGATGGAGTGAATGAATGCACAGAAGAATACGAGGACTCATTAACTAGACCACTGAATGCAGATGATGGCACACCATTAGCTAGAACATGGAAAGACCAAACTTCATTCTTATGCACTATTCCAGTTCAACGTGATGGAGCGGGTATATTCTTTGATGGATTAGAAACTTTCAACTCACAAGTTACAGTACAAGTGAAAGCTTATCCAATCATTCAGGGTGAAAATGACACTTACTGTTCAAAGGTGACAAATCCTCTTCAGGTTTGGTTTACTAGGACTACATATTGGACATGGACACCGGGCGAAGGTTTGAAATATCATCCAACAGGTACACCACCACAGTATAGAAGTTCATATGATGAAATATTGATGAATAGAAATGTTTAAAATTATAAATTTATTTTTGATTAAATGGATTTAAATTCATCCACCCCTTATGAAGAATTAGCGGGAGTATATAATACATACGTAGATGATATGATTAATGAAGCATTGAGTGATAATAGAAATGCTCTATCTAAGGAAAAATTAATGAAAATTCCATATTCTGAATGTTACTTAAATTCAATCACTGCAGCAATTGGTAAACAGAATAAAGGTAAAACATTAACGATATTAAAACAAATTATCATTATTGCTAACACTTCCCCCCATTCACATGTGTTAATTTATATCAACCGTTCAGGTTCACCTTCAGATGATACATTTGAATCTTTAAAGCATTTAATCAAAATTCCAATTATTTATTTATCACAAGAAGAAGCAGAAGATTATTTAAAAAACTTTTTAATGTATAAAGAATTATATAATACAATCAAGAAGCAAGGATTAGAGGATAAAATTATTGATAAACAGCGGGATGAATTATTTGAAACACTTTCTATTTCAAATTTTGATAGAGAATTTTTGCATTCACTCATTTTTCTAGATGATGCAGTGAAATCAAAACTAATAACAAATGAGAAATCATATTTTAATTAGTTATTAACTCAATGTCGACACATTCAGTGTTCATTCTTTATGGCTGTTCAATATTTCAAAGCATTAAGCACAAACATTAAATCAAATCTATCAACACTTTTCATTTTCAGTGGGTTTAGTCATCAACAGTTGAACGTTATGCTTTATCAAGTGAATTTACCAATGAGCATTAATGAACTTTACACACAATATCAGCAATTAGGTGAACATGGAAAAATAATAGTTGATTTAAATAAAGGAAGTGTTAAATTTGATTAACT